ATTTCTTTCTATCAACTCATTTTGACCGAAAAAGGTGTGTCGAGTTTCATTGTGTTTAGAACACACAAGGTGCAATCAGATATTATTAAGTAATTTTCTCATCAGATACATAATACTCATGTATGATTCTAAAATATTTACCGTGCCGAGTTTCCTAAGTCTAAAGAACAGAAGTTAGGTATGAGTAAAGTGAGGTTTGAAATAAAAAAAAATGCCATTGTAAAGTTCGTTGTATCGGCTAAATTTATTTCAACTCACTCGACGTAATAGCAGCTGCTTCAAGTGTTTCAGTTGAATATTTGTTCAGCATAAAAAGACTCGCTAGGTTTAAAAGTTTAATGTCAGTCTCACGATAGTAATAAGAATGACTTTTCACAATTGATTAGGCAATAGAGTAAGGAGGAAGGAAATCAGGAGGATTAAGTATAATGTATTTTTATACGCGAGTAAATTACAATTTGCTCTATATTGATTATTTAAAAAAATATTTCTTATATTTTTTACGATACAATTTAATGTACATATTTGCACATTATTTGCGTTATTTTGATGAAATCGAAATGCATATATTAAAAAAATTTTTACGACAAGAAGCTTTACATCATATTCGAATTTCGAATCGAGAAATCGATTGTCGTACAAAAAATTATCAATTACCCGATTTGATAAAATTTGCTCTTGACTAATATCCGTCATTCTTGTAGAGTGAAAATTAGAAATCTCTCAAGATGGTATGAAAGCGAAGACGAATAGAATAAGAAAGAATCGACGAATTCAAGACGCTCTGATGTAAGTATAGTATTTTTGGTTTAGATTTTTGATAGAATTTATTTATTTACATTAAATTAACTTTGCATAATACAATATCAGATTGTTAAGGTCACAATATTTATGCGTTGTTTGAAAGTTGGAGAATGTTAACTAAAATAATTTGTTAATTGATTAATTGGTGAACTCATGGTTATTAATATTGATTTAGGTTTGTTTAATTCATTTCCTATTCAAGTTATCTTTTAAGACCATAATACATTTATTCATGAACAAAATCTTTCGTATTAATGGTTGTGAAGACGTGAGCTTCAGTGTTCCATTTTCCACGTATCCATATACACGGACTCACAATCGGCCATTTCATGCATTGAACAATGCTCTTCACATTCTTATTCCAACAGTCTTCTGTATTCCAATTATTGCCAGAGTGGGCTTTGACTTTATACGGAGAGACTGAGTCGTTTCGAATAAATGGAATGTTCGATGGCGGACAGTACAGCGCGAAAATCCAGAAAAGAGTCCAATTAGTCCAATTCGTGATAAACAAATAACATCAAGGAAGAATACGCAAATATCTTAATATACCCGGAAATTTACTCGGTTTGATGCTATCATTGAACCGCGTTACTGTTCCATTCTCCAAGATCAAGTTATAACCGCATGAACACCCTATACCGGAAATCAGCCAAAGAGGAAACTTATCTTTACGAATTTTCTTTTAATAAAAGAAATGGATAGAATATGCATGCATCCAACAAAATTGTTCTTTATTTTATTTTAGATTTATTTAAAAAAAAGAACAAATAGTGTAGCGGTACCACTACGCTATTTATTCTTTTTTTTTTAATTATTAATATTATATTTCATATTTATTATATATATATATATATATATATATAGAATAAAGACATGCTTTATTGGTATTTTTTAAAGATTTTTATATTTTGTATCCCTAAATTTTTACTAATTTTAAATGTATAATTAGGTACACTTATATTATGGAACCAATAAGAAAGGAAATAATCATTATTACATAAAGGAATGGATCTCATTGGAAGCGGTTTACGTGAACCTTGTTGAGGTTTGCAAATTTTTAATTAATCTCTACTTAATACATACTAAGACGTTTACACTAATGTATTATCCAATAAATTTTTTAATTTAAACAGCTTCAAAATTATACGTAAAGCATCTTCCTTTCAATTAGTGTTAATGATAACTATGTCCGCCACCTAATTTAGACCTAAATTCTTATTCCGGCTTAAATGCTAAAGAAAGCTATAAAAAAGATCGCCTGATGGCGATATTTCTCTGGTGGAGAGGGTAGGAAAAGGAAAGATAGCAGACACCAGAGTGAAGTTAGGTAAAACTATTAAATTTTAGTCTATGTAATAAGCATAATTAGGTAAATGAATGTCGTAATTATATGTTAACTCAAGGATGTAATTCTGTTAATACTTAATGTATAAGATTTTGCCCTTTTTTGAAAAGTATTTACTACAAATAATGTGGATACATTGATTACTGCCGACAGGAGAACCATTCTTGGTAATTCAAAATCGGCGAAGATTTAGAAGCATTACAGGAGAAACGATTTAGAAAGCAATAAATGGGCTATACTCTTGGGAGGGATTTATTCAAAAATCGAGAATAATGGATTAAATAGAAGGTTTGGAGAAATATAGCGAAATTTAAATAAGTTCTAGGCTACGTTTTATATATATAGGAAATAGATCTTAGCAATGGTCTCTAATGACATGTTTTGGAACAAAAAAAAATCAGGCTAAATTTAATAAAATGATAAACCAACTCTTTAATTGAACGAATTTTTATTACTTTTCACTTTTTTTAAAAAAACAATTAATAATTATAATAAATAAATATTTCTATTAATGGTATGGAAGTAAAGCTGCTATTAATAAGTAATTACAGATTATTAATTTAATTTGTGCTGGGGAACAATATCCACTACAACATCCACTATAACAATGTCCACTATAGCAATGTCCACTATAGCAAAGTCCACTACGTCTATTATGCCTACTACGTCTATTATAACCATTATGTTAAAAGAAAAAAATTCCTATGATCAGGTATGTATCTAAAAGTATACGTTCAATTTATAAACACGATTAAAATTTTTAATTACGCCATCATTTTTATATTTATTAATTAATTTTACATAATTTTCCTCTTTATAAACATGATCAGATGTAATAATAGAAAGTGCAGGTCGACCTCTCCACTTTATTAAGAACGCTTCCAATTTCTCTAAAGAAAAACTAAAATGATCCAAAAATCTGATTTCTTTCAGATAAGTTGGCGCAGATCTAATTAATATATCTAATAATTCTTCATCAGCTTCATTTGATTTAAGTTCATTACATATCACATCATTATGATTCAATATTAATAATATTGATTTCAAATTTTTGCAATTTTTTAGTAATTTTTCAAATTCAATAAAATGATCATCTGTTGATGAAATTACAATTGATAAACTTTCAACTAAAGGACAATTTTCATAAACTGTACGAATGAAAATAAGAGAATCTTCGTTAAAATAACCTTCATCTAAAGAATAATAATATTTTAATAATATTTCTCTTAAATGACCTCCACTATTTTTAATTATACAAGTAGCTGTATTAATTGTAATATAATCTATTTTAATAGTTTCAAGATTACGATAAATCAACTTTTTTAATTGAATATTATTTAATTCAAGATCATCAATTATTAATGTTTTTAAATTATGAAGTTCTGGTAATACTTTTAATAAAAATGCATGTTCATATTCAAAATATTCAAATACAATTATTAAATGATTAAGAGTATTTGCCTTTTTTGTTAATATAGGAAAAATTACTTCATATGGATCTATAAAACATTCTTCTTTAAAATCATCCTTCCACTCAAAATATTTTAAATTTTTTTGAATTTCAATTAATTTAACGATTCCATGATTATCTTTTGAACTCGTATTAATTATGATAAGTCTTTGTATATTTTGACAAACACATGCTAATCCATAATAGTATGAAGAATCTATAATTGTATCACATCTTAATTCACAGAGTGAATCAAGACGTATATTAGCTTTCGGAAAATAAAATAATTGATGTTTGATTTTTATCATATCTAAATATTTTAATTCTGGACATTTCCTTATCAATAAACTGTAAATTTCTTGTTGTAAAAGAAATTCATCATAAGCTGAAGGTGCACCGATAGAAATTATATTATTAATAATGCTCACGTTGATACTTCTACAGAAACTCAAATAATCAAATAAAAGTGATTGACATGAATTTAATGGTAATTCAATCCCTTGTATTCTTAGAAAATCTTTAACATCTTCAGTAAAATAAAATGTAATAATATAAAATAAATAACTTTTTTTATTATAATCAATATTATACCGCCAAGGATTCCTCCATAAAATTGGAATTATTGTCTCACACCAAAGTCTATTAACCATTAGACATGAAAAGAGAGATTTTGAATCGTCTTGTAATTCTTTAAATAATAAGAACAGAACATCTTTATTAAGTTTAAACATTTTTTTTTTTGCAAACTTGGTAAATTTTTTTAATAAATTAAGTATAGTAAGGGGGTTAAAAAAGGCGAAAAAAGAAATGGGAAATCCTAATTTATACTGTAGTACCGGAATAAGACCCCCCGATTAAAGAATTTATACATGCAGAGAGATCGACAAGTTGCCACATTTTCCGCGTGATTGATTCAATTGTACAATCGTCGTTTAATTTAGATAATCGGGTTATAGACCCTTGATAGATTTATAGATTTATCTTACTTCACGTGATCGAAAGGATTTAGATCTTGCAGAAACGTATAGAAACTATTGGTATGTCAAAAAGCAAGTATATTTTATTGGTGAGTAAAAGAAAGAGACCTATAGATAGTTTACCTATGTTACACAAACATATACAATAATAAATTAGCTTGATACAGACTAAGTCATTTTGATATTATAGTTCGTGTGTACAGTACACAGTGCGTCGGTTATTTATAATAAAATAAACCAACAAACTACATGGACGTTTTTGTTTTCATCTTATGCTATCTATATAAGACCGAGAAATAAGTATAAACTCGGCTAATCACTCGCAATTTTCAAAAATGATTATGAAAGTAACACTTAGTGCGACAGGGGATTAACATATATGTATATATCTTTCTGAAACACATCATGACTAAATAGACGAAAAATCTAACATTCAATCACATCACATAAATGTATGATCAACTTTACTCAACAACTTTTTTTAATACTTAAACAAATTATATTTGTAAGTATGGAACAAATTGAAAATTCATTAGCCAATCTTACTATTAAAGATTGTGACAAAGTAACTGAGTTTTTGGAGAAATGTAATTTTGAAAGTAAGTATAGTGTACGGGTTATAGACTTAGAGTAACCTAAATGTAATTTCTCTTTAATTTTCATTTAGATTTTACTGTAGTTCCAGTTTGCTTAAAACAGAATGCAAAGATACTTCTTGATTTAGTTGAAAAAATGAGTGCTGATGAACAAATTCTGATTATAGAGTGGACTAAACACACTAAACACAATAGTTGTAATCAGGGAAAGGTATTTCAATTGAGTTTACCTTAATTATCTAAATTAAAACAATACATTAACGGTTAATATTATAAAATTCCTACTTTAGGATGTTCTTGTTAAACATATTACGGTTCATGGTGGTTATAATCTGTATTCTTCTAATACGATATTCGTTTTTCGTAATTCTTCAGCGCTCGCGGATTGTATTGATAATCTTCCGGACTGGTTAGTAGAAAGTTTTGTCCTTTTTTTAAAATTATTCGTAATATTTATTTAACTACCATGAAAAAATTAGGGCAGGAAATGATATAAAAAACATAACTGGGGATATATGTCATGCTTATTTAATTTACAAGAGAGCAAATAACTATTATTCCCGGACGTACGAATTCTAATTTTATATATTCCATATACCGCTTTTTGATCAGAATTTATTTTTGCTCTTCTTGTTGCATTTCACAATATAAAATTTTCCTTTTTTTTCAAGGCTTCAATTTTCATTTAAATTCACGAATTTAAATAAAGAGGAGAAAATTTTGGATAGGCACGTAAAAATCGGGGCGTTTTTCTAAACATTAAAATTATTAAAACTTATTTAAATATCATAAAATTCATCACACATACGGAAAATTATAATAAAATAGATTAAGCAGTGCCGATTTGGCAATTAAATTACTTTATTTTTAATAATCACAAACTATAGATAAAATCAGGATGAAGGTCACCCAGATTTTCAATTTCTTCTTCAGTTTTTCCTTCTAAAAACGATTGTGGATTTTCTTTCTTTCTCTTATTTAAAGTTTCGAAAACAATATATTGAATAATTGACATACATGTCGCAGCAATTAATAATCCTAAACATATAGAATGACCAAAGAAATAATGCGGAAAATCTTTTTGTTGATAAACTTGTGAAGCTAATGCACCTCCTATATTTGTGCACATCAATACCATTGCTGTTGCTATACCTCTTTTCGCATGACCTGCTATGTTATTTGTTAACCTGTTTAAAAAGGACGAAATATTAGATATTATTGTTTATATTAAAATAAAAAAAATGAGAAAAATTATTAAAATTTACCATGTGATTGAAGTTATATTTATTGGAGATAAGCCAATCCCAACAATACAAGCTCCAACATATTTTCCTACATAAATAATATGTCAATTTAAAACAACTGCATTACAATTACCTTTTCATAAAAAATTTTCTTACCAGGGATGCCTATCGAAGGTACGATTAACAAGATATAACCAATAATCGCAATAAATGAACATGAGAAGATAAATGGACTACGAATACGTTTACGATCCGAGAGTATTGCTACAACTAATGTTGATACGCCAGCACAAAAAAATGGTGGTACTGATAATAATTGTGATTTAACTGTCATACGTTTGAAAAATAATAATAAATTATTTGAATAACTATTATATGAGAATTACTAATTGAAATAAAAAATTATAATTACCAAAATCAAATCCCATTCCATTTACTATTGTTGGAATAAATAATGAATAAGAATAAAATACTATTGAACTTGCACTAAGATGTAACATAGCTAAATAAACTTTCTGATAATTAAAAATAGAATATTAAAAAAAGGATAAGATTGATATTTTTTGTTAACGGCTAAATATCGAATATTTGCAATCATATAGACCGCTATAATTTAATCTTTACACCTTATTATAAATTATCAGCATGATCATCTGACTGACGCAATAACTGAAATTATTTATATTATTAATATATTACGTACCCAATCTGTTAAAGCGGCATAAATTTGTTTTTTATTAAAATGTGCTACATGTGCTTTTCCTGCATCATATTCTAATCGTTCAACTACATATTTACGTTCTTCATCTCTAAGCCATTTAGTTTTTTCAGGATAATTAGAGAGTAAGAAATAAGAAATTATAGAAACTATAACTGTCATTAATCCTTCAATTATAAATATCTGTTAAGGTTAAAAAATCTTATCAATAGGAGAAAAATTATTCATAAAAAAAAAGGAGTTAATACTTAATACATACCCATTGCCATCCTTTTAAACCTAACTTTCCATCTAATCTTACAATACTATATGCTAATAAACCGCTAAACGAACCAGCAAAACTAGTTCCCATAAAAAGTATGGCTATACGAGAATTCGTTTCTGATCGTTTATACCATGTGGTTATATAATATACTGCGCCTGGAAATAGTCCTGATTCACAAGCACCTAAGAAAAATCTTGCTGACATTAACTCTGCAAAATTCTTCACCTAAATAAATTTTAATTTTAATTTTGGTTTAAATTTAACATTTAATTGATTTTTTTCTTCGAAAGTTGAAACTTACAAACGCCATAAGTATCATTACGAGTCCCCATAATGTCATAATAAAAGGAACTAAAGTACGAAAATGAAATTAAGAAAGTTCATTCGAAGATATTTAATGAAATAATAAAAAGATTTACTCCACAAAGATGGATTTGTCCTGAGAAGAATTAAATTCGAGGGAATTTCAAATAAAATATATCCACTATAAAAAGAAGAAATGTATCATTATCATATAATTTGTACCCAAGTATCTTAATTTAAATAGTTACTTACAAGAAGAAAATACTTAGACACCAATTGAATTGAACTCCAACCAATCCAATATCATGTTCAATATGTGCCAATTTCGCGTTTCCAATATTTACTCTAATAAAGAAAATAGCAGAGGTGAGCAATGAATTATATGAGTATTTTATAACTAAATTTTACACGAAATATGAAAAATCGGTGATTCAAATTACCTATCCAAGAAACTCAAAAGATATAACAAAGTTAATAAAGGTATAATTCTTAGATCTATTTTTCGTAATAATTTCTTTTCAAGTTCTTTATTTTCAATAAATATCTCTCTACTATTATTGGATTCAACTTTTTGAAAATTATAAGCTTCCATCGTTGTTAGTAAAGGGTGTTGATAGTTGCGATAGTTGCTGTGTATATGGTGGTATTTATAATTACTAATATTACTAATATACTGTATTTTATAATTACTAATATTAAACCTTTTTTTTTACAAATATTTTTACTAACTATTTTAAAGAACCATATGTCCAATTTGAGCTAACGATATACAACAGATTGCCTAAAACAAATTTTTTAAACCTAATATAAATAAAGTAAGTAAGTTTTCAACAAAAGGTAATTATCAGTTTATATATAGTTATATAGTTTATAGTTAAGGCACAATTGCAAATTTAGTAATAAAAATAATGAAATGAAATTTTGATAGAATAAATAAATTATCATTCCTTTTTTTTTAAATTAATTTAAAATTTTATAAAAAATTTTATCCGTTATTCTTTAAAAACTCCGTAAAAATGAGTCTTTCACGGATCCATTCACGGAAAATGTAAATAATTCGATAAATTCCGCGATATAAGGTTATTAATTCCGGAAATATGAGCCTTTTACGGAAAAAAGATGGAATATTTTACAGGATTTCGTATTAATAATATTAATTAGTAACATTTTATTTAATTTAGTTTCTTTATTCTAAATAATAAAAGTAAATGGTAATTATTATGCAATATATTGTACTCTAAATTAATTTCATAGTAATTAATTTATTTGACATGTTCATTTATTTTTGCAGTGAAGATGCTGCTGCGGATCTAAAAAATCTTATACTAACCCATTAAATAAAAAATTCAAATAAACCCTTACCAACATCCTGCATGTCCAAAGAACAAGCCGTATCTAAAAAAAGAAAATAAAGTAGAATTTGCAAAAATTTGTCAAAGAATAAATTAAAAGAAAAATTCCGATTTCTCACCGAAATCCATACATCTAAAGACGATCGCCTAAAAAAAAAAAGTGAAAATTCGAAACGTTTGTAAGACGTTTCGTTAAAGGAAATATAATCAAAGAAAAATACCTAAATACACGTCCAAAGATGTGTACACCTAAAAAAAGTAAAAAATCAAAATGTTAGTAGGACGCGTTCGTTAAAGAAAATATAATCAAAAAAATTAAAATACCAACCGAAATCCGCACGTCCAAGAAAAAGTAGATCAAAGAGTTAAATTTCTTCACAATAGTAGATCATGAAGAAGTTGAGAATAAAGCATGGCATAAATGCATATATACTGTAAATTCTCTTAATTTCATTAAGATTTGATTAAGATTTGCTAACGTTCCAGATTTATTTGAAATTTATTTGAAAAAATGATTGCTAACAGTGGACTGAACGCAAATAGTTGTAATTATGAAAAGGTATTTCAATTGAAGTTATCTTATTATCTAAATTAAAATTAATGCGTACAATATCAATCTTCGTAATAAGAGCTTTCGCGAATTGTATTAATAATCTTCCAGACTGATTTGAATAACACTTAACAAATCTACAAGGGAACAAACAATTTTTATTCACACCTAAAGAATTAGGATGGAATAGGATTTTTTATATAAACACCGATATTTTAGGCGTAACGCTTTTTGATTTAATTTAATTATTAATCTTTTTGAACGTCATTATAAAGTTTTCTTTTTTTTTGTCAAGTTTTCAAGTTTTAAATTCGTTTAAAGATTTAATTAAGGAAAAATATTAAAATTGATTACATACTAATATTTACAAACTATAAATAAAATCAGGATGAAGGTCGCCCATATTTTTAATTTCTTCCTCAGTTTTTCCTTCTAAAAAGGATTGAGGATTTTCTTTCTTTTTCTTATTTAAAGTTTTGAAAACAAAATATTGAATAAGTGTAATACATATCGTAGCAATCAAAAATCCCAAAGACATTGAGTGGCCAAAGAAATATTCCGGAAAATCTTTTTGTCGGTAAATTTGTGATGATACTGCACCTCCTATATTTCCACTCACCAATACCATTCCTGATGCTATGCCCCTTTTCGCATGACCTGCTATGTTATTTGTTAACCTGTTAAAAAGGACGAGAGAAAAGAAAACATGATGTTTATATTAAAATGATAAAAAAAAAAATACGAATTATTAAAATTTACCATGTGATTGAAGTTATAACTATTGGAGATAAACCAGCTCCAACAATACAGGCTCCAACATATTTTCCTAAATAAAAAATTTAACTTAAATTAAAACAATCACGTTGTAATCACCTATTTATAAAAAAAGTTTGCTTACCAGGGATGCCTATTGAAGGCGTTATTAATAAAACATAACCGATAATTGCAACAAGTGAACATGGGATGATAAATGGACTACGAATACGTTTACGGTCCGAAAGTATCGCTACAATTAATGTTGCTATACCAGCACAAAAAAATGGTGGTACTGATAATAATTGTGATTTAACTGTCATACGGGTTAAAAAATAAACAAATTACTTGAATAGCTATTAAGAAAAGAATTATTTTGTTTAAAATAAAAATTTTTATAATTACCAAAATCAAATCCCATCCCATTTACTATTGCCGGAATAAATAATGAGAAAGAATAAAATGCTATTGAACTTATGCCAATATGTAGCATAGCTAAATGAACTTTCTAAAGAATTAATTAAAAGAGAATATTAAAAAAATGATCTTTAAATAATATTTACATTATTACAGTATAAATATTTACGTACCCAATCTGTTAATGCAGCGTAAATTTGTTTTTTATCGAAATGTGTTATATGAGCTTTTCCTGCATCATTTTTTAATCGACCAACAGCATATTTACGTTCTTCATCACTAAGCCATTTGGTTCTTTCAGGATAATCAGAGAATAAGAAATAAGAAATTATAGAGACTACAACTGTTATTAATCCTTCAATTAAAAATAACTGTTCAAAATTAAAAGATTTTATCAGTTAAAGAAAATTATTATAGCAAATAAGAAGTTACTAATGCCTAATATACTATACCCATTGCCACCCTTTTAGACGTAACTTTCCATCTAATCTTACAATACCATATGCTAATAAACCGCTAAATGAACCAGCAAAACTATTTCCCATGAAAAGTATGGCTATCCGAGAATTTGTTTCTGATCGTTTATACCATGTGGTTATATAATATACTGCGCCTGGAAATAATCCTGATTCAAAGGCACCTAAAAAAAATCTCGCCGACATTAACTCTGAAAAATTCTTTACCTAAATAAATTTAAATTAATTTTGATTTAATAACATTTAATTGAATTCTTGTTTCGAAAGTTGAAACTTACAAATGCCATAAGCGTCATTGTTATTCCCCACATTAACATAATAAAAGGAACTAAAATACGAAAAATGAAATAAGAAAAGGCATTCAAAAGATAATTAATTTAACGAAGTAATAAAATATTTACTTACTCCACTTAGATGGACTTGTCCTAATAAGTACTAAATTTGAAGGAATTTCAAATAAAATATATCCACTATAAAAAGAAATATTATTATTTAATTTATATTAAAGGTATCCTAATTTAAAAGGTTACTTACATGAAGAAAATACTCAGACACCAATTAAATTGAGATCCAACTAATCCAAGATCTTCTTCAATATGTGCTAATTTCGCGTTTCCAATATTTACTCTAATAAGAATTGATAAGTACAGTGAATTACATAGATTATAATATAGTAAATATTACATAAAAAATAAAAAATCGCTGATTCAAATTACCTGTCCAAGAAACTTAAGAGATATAACAAAGTTAATAAAGGCATAATTCTAAGATCGATTTTTCTTAATAATTTTTTTTCAAATTCTTTATCCTCTATAAATAATTCTTCTATATTATTGAATTCTCCATCTTTATTATTGGATTCTTCATCATTTTGAAAATTGGAATTTTCCATCACTGTCGATAAAAATCAATTGCTGGGTAGGAGTGTTAGTTGCTGTATGATTTGTTCCTTGAATAAATTGGATGTATTTATATTCAAATTTCTTCTTTTTTACTTACCATAATTATCGTTTCTTCTTTTACTAACCGATATTTTTAGCTAAAGAGTCACATCTAAATTAAGTTCTGATTGAAATTATCATGTACATCATAGTAAAATGATAATTCATTCATGAAATATTAACTTTGTGTTTCAAAAATTCAAGATAGAATTCATTCATTTTTTCTTTAAAATTCTTGGCATAAACAGTAAATTACGTAAAGCTAGTTTTTTGTTCAATACTAACCAATTTTGTAATTAATTAATCTACGGATTTCAAAAAATTTCCCTTTTTTGTCGATCGGGCAACAAAATTTACTATATTGCATATAAAGAAAATATAGTATTTTCCGAATTCCCAAGTTCGACCCGGCCGAAACATTTGAAAATGGTTAAACTAATACGATACCTTAAGGCTACTCTTGTACGTATCCTCTCATTATGTAATAAAAAATAAATAAATAAAATTCGCGAAAATTATTTGTGCAACCATTCATATGGTAAGCGGAAGATCAATTATTACAGTAAAAAAATAGAATTTTGTTTTGAAACTATACATTTGTAGAAAAAAAAAAGAATCAATTTCAGAAGTATGACTCTGTTTTTGCACTTTCACCTTTACTGTTGTAGGAGAATTTATCGGGTTTGCTATTTTTAAATCAACTGTGCAAAAGACCATATAAATTCATTGTTTATGCATATTTTAATTTTAAATTTCCTTATAAATATAGACAAAGGCCTATTGTAAAATACGTATTTATAGCACAAGAATAAGCTCATAGCTTAGGACTAAACTATTTAGGAAAATGTTTTTTTTGTCATAGTATAATCAAACTTCCGTATTTCACTTTTACTATTCTTTTAATAATAAATGTAAAGCCATTATGAATAGCAATATTTCACGCCTTTTTCTATAATACGCTTGGATCAAGAATTTTATAAAGAATTTTTATGTTCAATTGAGTTTTAATAAATTTTATTTTCATTGTCTTATTACTATTTGCTCTTTGCAATTAGTAAATTGGTTTTCGTTAATAATTTGACGTTATAATCATGAATGAAGTATGCTCTTTTCTATTTTTTAATACAGTGATATATTAAAATTTATTTAACGATGATTTTTTGTACAAAATTTTCCGACCCTATAAAAAATTCTGGAAAAATTTCCGATCAATGATCATTTTTCTAGTTTTTATTCTTTTTATTCCGAAGAAGTGATCATTTTCTGAAAAATTTTTTATAGGGCGATTTTTCTAAAATTTCGTTAAATAATTAATTATATGTAAAAAAAAAATATATTTGCCAAAATAATTTAATATCAACCAACCATGGTAACTAATAAAATCATTTTAAAAAATATTTAGAGAAATATTCATTTAGGTACACGAGGGCTAAAAATTAAATAATCCATAGTACTAACATTTTTACTAGGCAGGCGCATTCAACTATAAGTGAGAATTTAAAGCAAATATTTTGGCTGTTTTATTACTTGCTCTACGCGTGCGCATTGATGTTTAATCACGTTTATGACTGACTAAAAATTGATAAGAAATACCATATACTGTATTATTCAAAATTTTCGCTTGGAGTCTTATTTCTCTAAAAAAAAATCACATGTAAATATTAAGAATTTTATCGTTGTAAAATATTAGAACCTATTTATAAAATTTCGCGTGTAATATCAAAAATAATAAATAAGAAAATTATTAAATAAAAGAAGCGTAAATAACAAGACTAAATTATATATATAAATACATTAAATTTATAGTAATATTATATATAATCACTTTCAGTACTAAAGTCTCACAACATTAAGAAATAATAGAGAATAATCTTCGCATATAGGCAATTTGGTATGCGGAAACTCAAGTTAAAACTGTAGCTTCGAAAGAAGAGAATTAGTAGCTAATAACTACCGACTGACAAGAAATAGGTTTGAATTACTTGAAATCGCTAGAAAAATTAGATTATTCGGTGTGTTTGTACGGAAAAATCAGCTCCGAAAAAAAGGTATAAGATTAAAGAGTTGTTAAACATATTATAGATTACGGTGGCTGTCTTTAATTTGTACTCCTCTATCTGAGATTTTCGGATTGGTATCGGGACTTTTCGCTGAAACTCATTTCGTTGAAGCCATTTTGCCGAATGAACATTTCGCCGAAAAATTATTTATTTCATTGATTAAATTATTGTTTTTATACTAAATACAGAAACATTTTTTTATCTAGAAAAATTTTTGAATTAGTTGAATTTATTAAATTTATCTTATTGTTGTTTATAGTATATTAATCTTTCTTTTACTTACATAAATGTTTTCAGGTAAATTTTATTTATTTATTGCAAAAAAAAGATATTTAAAGATAATTTATTTTTTATTTCATTGCGCGTTGAATATTTTTATAAAAATGTTAGTCTCTAGTCTAGGGTTCTTAATCGAATCAATTAACATCGATCATTAATTGATTCAATCAACGACTCGATCACAAAATATTGGCCTCATTTTTGATCGAACAAATTCGGTAATTTGATCGATCAAACTTATCCAAATTGATCGATAACGGAAATCTGGTGCATGAAAATCAATTTTTTTCTAATTTCTGCATAAAAAAATACTTTGATCAATTAATATAATAAATAAATTAGAATAGAAATGATGAAAAATTCAATCATTGATGGTGGTTTAAATTTAATGATCGATCAAAAAATCGATTGCACGTGATTAAATAAGCCAAATGTTAAGCACCTGCAATTCCTCGATTGCAACTTTTTGAGTCAATTAAATACCTAAGTCTCTACCATTTTCGGCGAAATGTCCATTTGGCGAAATGGAATTCAGTGATATGAAATTCGGCGAAATAATGAAACATTACATTTTGGATGATGGTTGGTTTGGAAAAAGAAGATATATCTATCTGAATTTGATTTTATTAGAGCATTACAAATTTAAAATAGTGCATGTAAAAGAAGAATTTAAATTTATTTCAATAAAGATTAAATTTTATAATTTTTTTTATGTTTTACAGTTTTACTAAAAAATTTATTCGGCCGATAAATTTTAGAAAATCCGGTAAAATATTTTCATTCCGGATTCTTAACCAGTAAAATTCAATTTCTATTTTAAGCACTGGCTCCATGTAAAATTAATCGAGTTTTTTCATCACTCACATCGGATTAGTTATTTTTATCCAGCGAAGAAGATTATATCTTCAAATACGGAAAAAATGTTCGTTTTGGGAAAAAAGGTCTTCCTAGCATATTTTAAGGACGAAGCGTAGATGAAACCGACAGCGATCAAGAATTCACCAGAAATCGAAAGTATGGACAAAACTTGGATTATTCATGGAGAGGAGTTTTACCTTCGTCATCTTCAACTCGGCTATGCTAGAAGAATCATTTGATCTGTAACCCATCAGGTGAGATGTAGAGTTATGTTCTTGAAGTTTCCATAAATCCATAATAGTAGAGGCATGAATGAATTGTCTATAATCAATCAAAGATAAGATAACGGCCAAGTCGGAGTTATGTAATACATGAAAATATCTATATGTTAACACGTACTTATCATAGCGCCAAGATGTCAAAGATCTACATATATTTAACAAACTCGATAGTCAAGTTTTGATATTATAATTTTTCTAAATCCTTCTTTCGTACAGTCGGTAGATGATGGTGAGTATTACTATGATAACAATTCTAAATTATCATGAGGGCCCTAAGAAGGTACAATAGCAAAATTTGAACAAACGCCTTTAATAACTTCACTTTAATAACATCCAGAAAATGATAAGGTTTTGTATATGTCACTCGTAAAATTAAACATGGTGGCCAAAATAAAGAACCTTCGCTTCTTAGGAAAGTTTGCTACCCATCATGCAATCAAAGTGAACACGGAGAAAGGCGGACAATATTTGATTGAACGTACGTCAGATAAAGATCCTAAAGATCCTAAATCCACGGTGATTTTCGAATTATTCAAATAAGGATGGCAAATGGAAACTTAAGGAGTTTCATAATTGTAAAGATGGTACTATTACACTCGAGCAGGACAAAAAAGATGAGTTCGACAAAAAAGCATATAATCTTCTGACCGCCAATTGTCAACAAGCTACCAAAAAATCCATTAGTCAAATTCTGCTTATTCCGATAGTAAGTTACTTTCGTCCATTTTATTTTAAATGTTTTTCAACTCACAATCTCACAATATGGCCCAAACATAGAAAATGATCCAAATCCAAAAGTATGGACGACCTCCCAAACTCAAGCATCGACCTCCCGAACTCGAGCATCGACTTCTCAAACTCAAACATCGACTTCCCAAACTCGAACGCCAACATCCCAAACTCGAGCATCGACCTCAAGGCAAAAAAGAAAGTAATACTCCTATAAATTGATTTATCTGTTATCAGATTAACATATAGCCAAATTCGAAAAAGTATTGTCATAGTTACTTTTTCTTTTTTTTAGCTACGTCACTCATTAAATCAATGAACTCGTGACGTAGCTCGATATTATATAAATTATTTTAAAATTTCTATGTGAGCATTTGCAGTGACGTTATTGACGTAACTTTGTTACGGCAGTTACGTTGCACCCAATGATGAGAAAAGCGTTGGTTGTACATCTAGACTCATAGTCATGTGGCAGTGATGTAAGCGATCTCATAGTTTAGTATTTTTATTACCAGTTATACTACACCATTATATTAGCAAAGAAACCTATCAGTAATAGGCAAAATTAATAAAGTATTTATTACCCAGGTAAAAAATGAGGTTAAGAGAGAAATCCTCGAGACAAATGTTCTAATGATACTTTACGAAAGGAGCTCGAGAATATTTAAAACTATAGGTAAAGGCAATAGCGCGAATTAATATCTAGCTATCTCTCCAACATTCATATTAAATTAACTGCATATGATACCGATAATGTAATTGCCGAAGTTTTAAAGCATAAAGTTTGATAATGACTGCGCCACATTTTTGCGCCTTCGTGACATGTTCAGCTGTCCAGGCATCAAAAATTATGTATGAATTTTATACCGGGCTTTGGTTTTTAACCCATGTATGCTATGTACAATGTATTTGATGCTGTTGATAAATGTTTGAAAATAACTCAAGTTATAATCTGCATACGATACTCTCAAACTTTTTGGAAGTTTTCCGGCTTTGATCCTGGAATGCTGGAAAATACCTTGCCCCTGCAGAAGCTATCCTTCAATTAAACGTTTTTGCACGAAAATTTTGCATACAAGTAAAAACAATATCTTACAGTCGCAAATATTGCGCATATAAATCTGTAAATCTGTAATTAAAAGTGAAATTGGGAATATCTCATAATATAGCGATTGGATTTCGATGATTGTTATATCATTCAATCCATCTCAATAAGATGAATCTAACGGTAGTAAAATCATCTCCCTATGATTGATATAAATGGATTATGACTTAATAATTATTAATTTAGAAACTGATCTAATGATTGGATTGTGATGAACATCGGTCAAATGATGACAGACAGAAACAAGAAAAGTATCAGAATCAGGTAATATTGCACTTATCACCGGATAGAATATAATTTTTTATATAAACACCGATAGTTTAGATTTTAGACGCGACACTTTTTGATTAAATTAAATTTTATTAATCTTTTTGAACGTCATTATAAAATTTTCCTTTTTTTTGTCAAGTTTTCAAGTTTTAAATTCGTTTAAAGATTTAATTAAAGGAAAAATATTAAATTGATTAAATATTAATATTTACAAACTATAAATAAAATCAGGATGAAGGTCGCCCATATTTTTAATTTCTTCCTCAGTTTTTCCTTCTAAAAAGGATTGTGGATTTTCTTTCTTTTTCTTATTTAAAGTTTTGAAAACAAAATATTGAATAATTGTAATACATGTCGCAGCAATCAAAAATCCCAAAGACATAGAATGCCCATAGGTGTAGTGTGGAAAATCTTTTTGCCGATAAACTTGTGATGCTAATGCGCCTCCTAAATTTGCAAACATCATTACCATTGCTGTCGCTATAGCTCTTTTCGCATGACCTGCTATGTTATTCGTTAACCTATTAAAAGAGACGAAGAGAAGAAGAAAATATGAAGTTATATTAAATAGGGTAAAAAAAAAAAATAAATTAATAAAAATTTACCATGTGATTGAAGTTATAATTATTGGAGATAAACCAGATCCAACAATACAGGCACCAGCGTATTTTCCTAAATAAACATTTAATTTGATTAAAATAACTACATTATAATCACCAAGTATTCATAAAAAAGTTTACTTACCGGGGATGCCTATCGAAGGCACTATTAATAAGATATAACCGATAATTGCAATAAGTGAACATATGATGATAAATGGACTTCGAATACGTTTACGGTCTGAAAGTATTGCTACAATTACTGTTGCTATACCAGCACAAAAAAATGGTGGTACTGATAATAATTGTGATTTAACTGTCATACGGTAAAAATGATAAATTATTTGAATAACTATTAAATAAAAGAATTATTTGCTAAAAATAAAAATTTTTATAATTACTAAAATCAAATCCCATTCCATTTACTATTGTTGGAATAAATAATGCGAAAGAAAAAAACGTTATACAGCTTACACCAAGATGTAACATAGCTAAATAAACTTTCTAAAAATAAAATTAAAAGAGAATATTAAAAGAATGACCTTTAAATAATATTTGCATTACTATAAATATTTACGTACCCAATCTGTTAATGCGGCATAAATTTGTTTTTTATCAAAGTGTGTTGTATGAGCTTTTCCTGCATCATATTTTAATCGACTAATAGCATATTTACGTTCTTCATCACTAAGCCATTTGGTTTTTTCAGGATAATCAGAGAGTAAAAAATAAGAAAATATAGAGACTGCAACAGTTATTAATCCTTCAATAAAAAATAACTGTTTAAAATTAAAAAGATCTTATCAGTGAAAGAAAATTATCATAACTGAAAAGAAGTTAATGCCTAATATATACCCATTGCCACCCTTTTAGACGTAACGTTCCATCTAATCTTACAATATTATATGCTAATAAACCGCTAAATGAACCAGCAAAACTATTTCCTATAAAAAGTATGGCTATCCGAGAATTTGTTTCTGATCGTTTATACCATGTGGTTATATAATATATTGCGCCTGGAAATAATCCTGATTCAAAGGCACCTAAAAAAAATCTCGCCGACATTAACCCTGAAAAATTCTTTACCTAAATAAATTTAAATTTTTTGATCTTAATAATACTTAATTGAATTCTTGTTTCGAAAGTTGAAACTTACAAATGCCATAAGCGTCATTATTAGTCCCCATGCTAACATAATAAAAGGAACTAAAATACGAAAATGAAATTAAGAAAAGGTATTCAAAGATGATTTAAAGAAATAATAAAAATATTATTTACTCCACAAAGTCGGATTTGTCTTAATGAGCATGAAATTCGAAGGAACGTCAAATAAAATATATCCACTACAAAAAAGAATATTTCATTAACTTATTACTCAATTTATATCAAAAGTACCTTAGTTTGAAAAGGTTGCTTACATGAAGAAAATACTTAGACTCCAATTAAATTGAGTTCCAACTAATCCTAGATCTTCTTCAATATGTGCCAATTTCGCGTTTCCAATATTTACTCTATTAATAATTGATAGGAATGCTTAATGAAGTACATGAGTAATATTATATAAATGTAATCTCTGTTTTAATTTACCTGTCCAAGAAACTTAAGAGATATAACAAAGTTAATAAAGGCATAACTCTGAGATCTATTTTTCGTAATAATTTCTTTTCAAATTCTTTATTTTCAACGAATGTCTCTTCTTTATTATTATGTTCTTCATCTTTTTGATATTTTTCATTATCAGTTTCCATTTTTGTTGATAAAGTGTGGGGTTGATAGTGCCTGTATGATATGTTTTTTAATAAACTGGTTGTATTTATAATTAAAAAATTTTTTTTTTTTTTTACTAACAATAATTATTTTCTTCTTTTTACTAACCAAAAATTCTAAAAAATCCCTTCCAATTTGACCTCAAATTAAATCATGAGAATAGAGATCGCTATAAATGTGACGGTACATCCGGTGCATCCGGTACATCATCATAACAGTTAAACTCCTCGTTACAAAAAATTAATTTTAATTTAAGGTTTTGCGTTGTATGAATAAATGAAAAAACTTTGCAATAAAATGTTTTAAATCTTTTCACAAAGTAATTTGCAAATTTGCATTGTAGAAAAAGTAAATTGCGCGTTCAGTTGTTATTATTTTATTATTGTTTTTGATTAATCTGCGAAATTCAAATTTTCCCACGGTTTGTCGATCAACAAACAAAATTCGATTTTACATTTTTCCGAATCCGCAAATTCCGACCGACCCAATAATCTTAAAATAACTAAATTAGTACGATAATTTGTGATGAAGACATCAGCTTACCATGTGAAAAAAGAATAAAAGAATTCGCATCATATTCATAAAAGGATTTTATTATATTTTGTGCGACTAGTGATCAAAATAATAATTAGATCAAATAAGATCAATGGTTCTGTTACCTAAAGAACTATTGTTCGAAACTATCAATACATATACATGTATTAGGAAAAAATCCTTCTGCTTTTACTATTATTGTTGCTACAGAATCGGATTTATTGGGCTAAATAAACGGTATAAATGATCATGTAAATTACATATATTTATATATTTATTTTATTTTAAATTTAGGCTTTCTAGTTTTATAGTATGCAAAAAATGTGTCGGTGAAACGTCTGTCAGTGAAATGAACGGTTCCCGTTCAGGGGTGTTCAGCAAGGAAATAATAAAACTATATAGAAAAGTGGTTTTATCTCGTGTTTCATTTTCAATAATTCAAAATTTTATAGTGCTTTGTCATTTATTGTGTATCAAATAGCTATTGGACACGAAATTATTATATTATCGTAATTTTTTATTTACCCGTATTTGCCCAAAAATAAGCAACCTTTTTTTATTATAGGGTTGCTTATTTTTATTTAGGTACAAATATATTATTCAAAATCTACAACTTTTTTTTTTATTAAGCTGCGCCAAATCATCATTTTATGATCATAATGTAATAAAAGAAATTTGGAAATTGGTAATCAATGAAACTGACGATTAAAGTAACTAGGATTATAATACTTTTAATGACAGAATAGAGCATTTCCTTCATTGATTTTAATGCCCAGAATAGCATAATTTTCTTCATTAAACATTATTTTCAATTATAATTACATTTATTATAAAATTTTACAAAGAACTTTTCGAGTTGCTTATTTTTGGGTACCGTACAAATATATATTACTTATTTTTGGTATTTGCTTATTTTTGGGCAAATACGGGTATTTAAACAATCACACACTGTACATTAAGAATTTTATCGTTATATAATATTAGAGTTATTTTATAAAATTTCGCGTGTAATATCAAAACTGAAATAATAAATAAGAAAATTATTAAATAAAGAATAAAAGAAGCGACATTAAATTATATTAAACATTAAATTTGCAGTAATATTAGATATAATCACTTTTCGTACTAAAGTCTAACATCACAACATTAAGAAATTATAGTCTTTGTACAGTAATATACACTACTGTATTCGGTATGTGGAAACTCAAGTTATGGGTGTGGCTTCGAAAGAAGGAGAATTAGTGAACCACAAGCCCTAAACTTTGTTGTCGCTACTTGTAGTTGGCTCATTTAAGAATGCAAACTTAGTAATTGACTATTATGAAAAATTAGAGTGAGCTTGTATAGAAAACCAACTCGTAAAAAAAGAAAAAAAACTCAAAAAACAGAAAGAACTTATCAGCTAATTCTGCCAAGATCATGCTCAAGATTATCAAACAGAATACAGTAAATAGAAAATTTTATTGCCAACTTTACTATCGAAGATCATCGAAGATCGCACCGAAGTAACTGAGTTAGTTTAAAGAGAAATGTATTTTTGAAAATAGTATATCGTAAATAAACAAGTGACAGGGCTATGTACTATTTCTCTAAATTTTTAGAACTTGCTGACGTTCCAGATTGCGAGCAAATTATTAAAGAAATGGTAGGTAGGTTGAAAGACTAGTTAAAATTCATATTCGCTATAAAATGAATAACAGAATATAAAGATACTTTTTGGTTAATTAAAACTTCGATTGTTTACCTTGTTTATCTGATATGATTATTATGCTTTTCAAAATTGTGCTACCCCCCTATAGATCTGATAAAAAAATTATTAGATCACGATTACTGTAAATTATAATCACAACGTACACAGAATTCTGAAAACTACGATAAACTAAACTAATATGCTCAAGGTACAGTATAAAGATTATTTTAAGAGCTTGTTGTTAAACAAAATTTATTAATTTATCTCATTGTTGTTTATAATATATTAATCTTTCTTTTATATATTTGAATAAATGTTTTTGGGAAAATAAATATTTTATTTATTGCGAAAAAAAGTTATTTATCGCCGTTTTCAAATTAGTGCGACCCCCTGTAAGTCACCCCTCTAAGGAAATCGGTATTCACAAATCTGGAAACCCAGATTTTTCCCGAATAACTATGTAGAGAAGGGTCGATTATTAGTGGATTTCAGTTTAGTGGTTTCTCTTGAAAATATGGTAGTGTTACGCAAAGTTTTAACCCTTGTTCATAGGAAAGCTACTTAAATAATTGAGATTTCTGCATGAATTCCTTTAGAAATCGCTAATAATCGACCCTTCTCTACATAGTTATCCAATAAAATTCCGGGTTTTCCGGATTTGTGAATACCGATTACCTTAGATGGGTGACATCGCACTAATTTGAAAACAGCGATAAAAATAATTTATTTTTTATTTCATTGCGCGTTGAATATTTTTAAAATGTTAATCGCTAATTTGGTGAAATGGATTCGATAAATGTACTTTATGTGAAACGTCCTTTCAGCGAAACATCCCTTCAGCGAAATGTACCGTAACCATGCGAGTGAAATGGGAAGCAAACAAATCTAAAGAATTAAGATGGAGTTTATATTACAGAAACGCCGATAGTTTAGATGCGACACACTTTAAAATTTATTTTTATTCATCTTTTTGTACTTCAATATAAATTTTCTTATTTTTTTTCAAGTTTTCAAGTTTTATTTGGATTAAAGAATTTCAATAATTAATTAAAAAGAGAAGTTAAATATAAGTTTGATAAAAATATTTCAATAATTACAATTTATAGATAAAATCAGGATGAAGGTCACCCAGATTCTTAATTTCTTCTTCAGTTTTTCCTTCTAAAAATGATTGTGGATTTTCTTTCTTTTTCTTATTTAAAGTTTTGAAAATAAGCAATTGAGCAATTGAAATAAATGTTGCAGTAATCAAAAATCCCAAAGATATAGAATGCCCATATGTGTAGTGTGGATAATCTTTTTGCCGATAAACTTGTGATGCTAATGCGCCTCCTAAATTTGCATACATCATTACCATTGCTGTCGCTATAGCTCTTTTCGCATGACCTGCTATGTTATTCGTTAACCTATTAAAAGAGACGAAGAGAAGAAGAAAATATGAAGTTATATTAAATAGGATAAAAAAAAAAATAAATAAATTATAAAAATTTACCAAGTGATTGAAGTTACAATTGTTGGAAATAAGCCAGATCCAACAATACAGGCTCCAGCGTATTTTCCTAAATAAATAATTTTAATTTATTTTATACTCAACATTACAATCCAACCCTTTAAAAAAAAACAACTTTACATACCAGGGATGCCTACTGAAGGTACAACTAATAAGATATACCCAATAATTGCAACGATTGAACATGAGATGATAAATGGACTACGAATATCTTTGCGGTCCGAAATTGTTGCTAGAACCAATGTTGTTACACCAGCACAAAGATACGGCGGTACTGATAATAATTGTGATTTAACTGTATACGGTTTAAAAAATAATAAATAAATTATTTGGATAACTATTATATGAGAACCACTTAATTTGAAAAATTATAATTACCAAAATCAAATCCCATTCCATTTATTATTGTTGGCATAAATAATGCGAAAGAATAAAATGTTATTGAACTTACGGCAAGATGTAACATAGCTAAATAAACTTTCTAAAAAATTAATTAAAAGAAAATATTAAAAAAAAATGATCTTTAAATAATATTTACATTATTACGGTATAAATATTTACGTACCCAATCTGTTAATGCGGCGTAAATGTGTTTTTTATCGAAGTGTGTTGTATGAGCTTTTCCTGCATCATTTTTTAATCGACCAACAGCATATTTACGTTCTTCATCACTAAGCCATTTGGTTTTTTCAGGATAGTCAGAGAGTAAGAAATAAGCAAGTGCAGAAATTAGAACTGTTATTAATCCTTCAATTAAAAATAACTGTTTAAAATTAAAAATCTTATCAGTAAGAGAAAATTATTGAAACAAAAAGAATACTTAATACATACCCACTGCCACCCTTTTAGATGTAACCATCCATCTAATCTTACAATACCATATGCTAATAACCCGCTAAACGAACCAGCAATAGCAGTTCCAATAGCAAATATGGCTATACGATAATTTGTTTCTGATCGCTTATACCATGTGGTTATATAATATATTGCTCCCGGAAATAATCCTGACTCAAAGGCACCTAAAAAAAATCTTGCCGTCATTAACCCTGCAAAATCCTTTACCTAAAAAATGAATTTAATATTAATTTGATTTAATATTTAATTAATTTCTTGCCTCGAAAGTTGAAACTTACAAATGCCATAAGCGTCATTACAAGTCCCCATGATACCATTATAAAAGGAACTAGAATATAAATTGAATTTAAGAATACTTATTCAAAGATGATTTAAAGAAATAATAAAAATATTATTTACTCCACAAAGTTGGATTTGTCTTAATGAGCATGAAATTCGAAGGAATTTCAAATAAAATATATCCACTACAAAGAATATATCATTATCTTATTACTCAATTTATATCAAAAGTACCTTAGTTTGTAAAGGTTGCTTACATGAAGAAAATACTTAGACTCCAATTAAATTGAGTTCCAACTAATCCTAAATCTTCTTCAATATGTGCCAATTTCGCGTTTCCAATATTTACTCTAATAATAATTGATAGGAATGTTTAATGAAGTACATGAGTAATATTATATAAAAATGTAATCTCTGTTTAAATTACCTGTCCAAGAAACTTAAGAGATATAACAAAGTTAATAAAGGCATAACTCTGAGATCTATTTTTCGTAATAATTTCTTTTCAAATTCTTTATTTTCAACGAATGTCTCTTCTTTATTATTATGTTCTTCATCTTTTTGATATTTTTCATTATCAGTTTCCATTTTTGTTGATAAAGTGTGGGGTTGATAGTGCCTGTATGATATGTTTTTTAATAAACTGGTTGTATTTATAATTAAAAATTTTTTTTTTTTTTACTAACAATAATTATTTTCTTCTTTTTACTAACCAAAAATTCTAAAAAATCCCTTCCAATTTGACCTCAAATTAAATCATGAGAATAGAGATAGCTATAAATGTGACGGTACATCCGGTGCATCCGGTACATCATCATAAAAGTTAAACTCCTCGTTACAAAAAATTAATTTTAATTTAAGGTTTTGCGTTGTATGAATAAATGAAAAAACTTTGCAATAAAATGTTTTAAATCTTTTCACAAAGTAATTTGCAAATTTGCATTGTAGAAAAAGTAAATTGCGCGTTCAGTTGTTATTATTTAAATCTATTTTATTATTGTTTTTGATTAATCTGCGAAATTCAAATTTTCCCACGGTTTGTCGATCAACAAACAAAATTCGATTTTACATTTTTCCGAATCCGCAAATTCCGACCGACCCAATAATCTTAAAATAATTAAATTAGTACGATAATTTATGATGAAGACATTCGCTTACCATGTGAAAAAAGAAGAAAAGAATTCGCATCATATTCATAAAATTATTTATTATATTATGTGCGACTAGTGATCAAAATAATAATTAGATGATCAAATAAGATCAATGGTTCTGTTACCTAAAGAACTATTGTTCGAAACTATCAATACATATGCATGTATTAGGAAAAAATCCTTCTCGCTTTTACTATTACTGTTGCTACAGGATCGGATTTATTGGGCCAAATAAACGGTATAAATGATCATGTAAATTACATATATTTATTTATTTATTTATTTTTATTTTAAATTTAGGCTTTCTATTTTATAGAATATGCAAAAAAATGGGTTAAGCATCTCATGTTTTAATGCTTTACTTTAATGTAAATTTTAAAATATATGTAATTATTCAGCAAAGAAATAAATAAAAAAATAAAACTATTTAGAAAAGTGGTTTTATCTCGTGTTTCATTTTCAATAATTCAAAATTTTTTAGTGCTTTGTCATTTATTGTGTATTAAATAGCTATTGGACACGAAATTATATTATCTGTTATCGTAATTTTTATTTACCCGTATTTGCCCAAAAATAAGCAACCTTTTTTTATAATTGGGTTGCGTACCGTACAAATATGATATTGCTTATTTTTGGTACTTGCTTATTTTTGGGCAAATATTAATGTTAATGGTTATTATTATTGGCTTCTTTAGCGACTAATAACTTATTTTTCATTAATGATTGATTTAAGCTAAGTGTTTTTTTTTTTAAAAATGTTCCGCTTGATAAGTTAAGAAATATTTTGCTTTTCCACTCCTTAAAAAAATGTAATTCTACTATCAGAATCTCGTTATAATACAAGCCCAATCCCGATAAATTATAATTCCGAAAATTCAAAATCCCGTAACTTAATTATTCCCGATAAATTCCGTGATATAAGGTTATTAGTTCCGGAAATATGAGCCTGACTTTTTTTACAGAGGTAGTATGTTAAAATTGGTTTGAATTGGTTTAATTTAACCATGGTTAGAAACATTTTAAACCGCCTTGCAAACCACGGTTAACCGGTTTCAAACTAAACCGATATTATCCCTATGTGTTTATAAAGTATTAGAAAAAAAATTAAAAAATTATTTTGTTACTTGAATTATTATGTACAATCAACTCTCCATATATGTGACTTTACTCAAATATGCATTTATAGGGGGTGTACACTTATAAAGGGTGCATTTATGGAGAGTTACTGTAACTTGTAAATAATGAGAATAAATTCAAAGTTAGATTAAGAAAAATTTGAGAATTATAAAAAAATGGTATTATCATAAAGTAGTTTCCATTTGCATTTTTTTTTACATTTACTTTTGTTAGATTTTTTGATCATTTTAAAATTTAAATTTAACCATTTTCATAAAATGGAAAGGTTGACCTGCTCTTTACATACTTTCTCATTTTTTTGATTGAAGATCTTAGCGTGTCTTTAATAAATTATCAAAAAGAATAATCGAGTTTCGTTACAAATCTACTTTAGAAGGTACAGTAAATGATTATTAGGTTTTTTGGTTATTTTTCAATTCAATAAAAATAATTCTGAAACGAGATACATACATAAATAAATCACTGAATCCAGTCTAGTTCAGAATACTTTAATATGTTTGGGGAGATATAAATCTGTACGGCAAAAAGAATTAACTAATGTTTACATATTAATATTCAAACCTATACAATGTGATAAAGCCGTTTCATATTTTTATTTCATTTTAAATGTTGTTTCCTTGCACTAATGTCATTAAATTGAAATGTAATAAATTATTTAAGAATGTAACTGTGTAATTTATCGTTTGAAGTTACTTAATACCCGGTTAAAACTTAATTCTGGCCGGCATTAAAATTTGACGGAATTAATGCATTACGCAAAATTTAAATCTTAATTCCGGCCAGAATTTGTGATAATCATCGTGATCGTGACATACCTTGAGAATAAATTAACTGATTAGTAAACAATATAATATTTTAATTCTTAACCGCTTGACCATCTTAACCGGTCCAAACTCTACTTTATCGTCATATTATACTTAAACGTCAATAGTAGAACAAATTTATTAATGCATATAGGCAATTTGTTAGCAATGATCTCAATTTATTTACTTAAAATCCAACACACTTTGAATAAACCGTCAGTTGACATTTAATTCTTCTTACATTTCTTGTCACTAAAGCCTTTCTTTATATGCCTTATCTAAAAAACGCACCTGTTACCTATTTTCAATAATTTATACCGATATGCCAAACACTAATTCATCTTAATTGACGAGAGTAATAAAAAGGTCAAAAAGTTGATAGATGACTAATTTATTGAGGAATATTTAATGCAGAAAAATATATACATATATTTGAAAATGAAAAATATGTACGGTAAATATCAAAAAATAAAACCAATGCACGTATGTAATATGTCAACCAAAATCTAACCTAAATAAATCTAATGTAGTTCGTTGAACCATGATATATATTGTAAATATAAGATGGTATAACAAGAAAAAAATATTTTGCAAACACGATAAATGACATTTTTATGATTCTACTTAATACGCGTAAATCCCATCTATCCAATATAATTTTCCAAAGATGAAACATCTAAATCTCTGATCAAATTCGACATCATTTCCAGGTGTTTGTCGATACGGATTTCTAATAACACATCTGCTACAACCCATGGAAAACTCAATAGACAAGTCTTGCCTCCTCGATCAGGATGTTCTTCCTGATTATAAGTTACGTGATACCACGCGCAAGCTTTTGCTTTAGATTCATCGTTTATTGGAATCGGTATATATAAACTAAAAGGTGTGGTATCATCCGAATCATTATCATCATTGGTATCCTGAGTCAATCCAATTAAGAATCTTTTTCGATAATTATGAATGATATGCGATATTGTGCCGGCAATCGCTTCCCGTATGTCTTGCTTTTTTCTGCCATCTGTCCGTTTGTATCCCAACAATTGTGCGGTTAAAATCTCCGCTTCCGTCTTAACTCTGTACTTTTTCATAAGATTACGAATTTCACCATTATAATTATCCCGAAAAACGATGGCCTCATCAATATAATCTTCAAATCCATCAAACATAAAATCTTCATTTGTAGCTATGTCTTCTGCATTATATTTTAGTAAAGGGTCACTATTCGGTTTATCTATTTTGATATTGCGATATAATCGTCCAAGTATTTTTCCGGATCGATATGATTCTTTGAATTTATGCTCCATAAAATCAGGATATTTACTGATGGAGGGTAGACTATCGTCTACTGGAACTCCCGTTTTATTAAAGTCTACTGCTTTTGAATGCTAAATAATTAAAAACATTAGTTTTTAATTAAAAGTTGCTCGAAAATATTATTAACTACATACCAGTTCGGCTAGTTTAATACATTCTTCAGATCTAACACCGCCTATACTATGATCCGCAAAAGCTAAATGAAGATTTCCGATTTGACCAAGACGATCATTCAACATGAAATCTTTAAAAAAATCACAAACGTCGGATATTTTGACTGGTCTATCTTCTATGATTTTTCTATCCGGAGGATCGTAATTCATTGGGTCTTCATTCGAGTTTATGCGAATTCGTTCGTCAAAACAAACAAAAAATTCGTCCCCATCTTATTTATGTAAAATAAATTAATGATTGTAATCAGGTTATGAAATAATAATAATTAATTATTACCTAAATCGCCTCCGGACTATTATGTTAAAAAATACAAAATGTATAAATTAGCTAATTTTTTTTTTTTTAAAAAAAAAAAAATTATCATTGCATACCAGAAGATTTGGCAAGGGTCTATCTCCTTTTTGACTGAATACCACGCAGTTTCTTAAATGGGATAATTCAGGGACGTCTACTGCTTGAACTTTCCTGATATCACCAGGATGCAAACACGGGTTCCTGGTAATCACTATTAAAGAATATTGAATATTAAATAAATCAAGATGTTTTACATATAATCTGTAATATATGAAAAACTTACTAGCTTGACCCGTCCAAACTTTGTGCTCTCTTTGAACTTTATTGTTCGCCGAATCAAATGTTTGATGTTCGGAAACGATGGTAGAAGTTTGAATGAAAATTTCACCCTCTTCCAAAATTCCACTTTCATCAATAACACCTAGTAATAAAAATGACTTGGGCATTAAAATACGCGCTTTGTATATCTTAGAGATTTCAACGCAAAAACTCGTTTGCACTCCAAGAGTGCCTTTAGGAACGGATCAACGGTTCCTCTCATCATTCCCTAAAATTACAAATATTTTTTTTTTTTAAAAAAAAAAGATAACCTAATTGAGTCTATAGTATGATAAAATATATTCAATACGAACCGCGTCAATCATACTAAGAATTGTACGCATAACATGGGAACACTCTCTTGTACCGATATTACGTTTTACAATTTCGCGCGCTTTTTCCTCATTAGTCATCATCGAGTCTATATCTGCACGCATTTCGTTTTGGAGAGTAATGAACACATCATCTTGTACTCCAAGCGCCGACAGTAATAATATAATCTGTCGGTTTAAATGGCCAGGCAACGGATTTTTAACCGTTTTAACAATTTCCAAAATGGAAGAAGGTGCGATAAATTTTTTTTGACTGGGGCGTATGCATAGGACGTCACCTTCAAGACTTGGATCAACTGCAACTACTCCCTAAAATAAATTTATAATAAGGTTAAATTATTTTAGGAACATAAATTGTCATTATAATCCATACCTTACATCCACCAAACCGAATTTGGAACACTGAAGGGATTTCCTTGTCTTTTGGCTTTTTTCCCCAATACCTTTTCGCTGCACGTTTGGCTAGACTCTCCGATATTTTTCCACAACCATCACTAAAAAATGATTGAAATGATTATTATTTCTTAAATTCAAAATGATGACCAAAATGGTTATCTCATACCCTCATACCTAAAGTTATAATCATTCCTTGTGATATCCGGAATAACTACTATTTGATCTTGATTTAGAATCAACGTTCCAACAGTGCTTGTAAAACATTGGCCCATTCGAGCTGCATATAATGAAGGAGCCTGAATGCCGCTAATTAAAATAAATCACTTAAATTAATACCGTTATACGATAATTTTTATAATAAAAGATTAAAATTTATAACCTACCTGAAATCTCCCATGTTATCACGAATAAAATTTGCGTTGAATTCTCCATCAGAAGCAACAAACCAACATGAAGCTTCTTTTAGCTGTGACGACGAAAATGCTAGAAATTCATAATGTCGTCCAGCTAAACAAATTCCGGTATTTAGTATAGTAACTATTCTTCTTATTATATCAATACTTTCATATTTATTGACATAAAGCCTATCAAGATTCTCATCCATAAACGAAACACGTAAGAAACGATCTATTTTATCTTCATATAAGCGTAATATTCTATTTGATGACTCATAATTAGGTCCATCGAAATACATTTTAGTTGGAGTAATGGTTGCGTGGTTTACCCATACGCAACGAGAATTATTTGCCAAAGGATCTGAAGGGCGCCAAACGTTAAATTTATCACAAAAATTTTTTAGCGCAGTTTTAAAAATTGATACCGGACGTTCTTGATATCTTTTATCGAAAGGATCCCAATATTTCGTTGATATTTGATTTAGTGAATGCCACGTCATCATTTCTTGGTTTTCATAGTAAATTAATTCAACTAATTGTTCACCCAATTCTTCTTCGATTTCATAGAATGTCAATTTTCCGTAAGACACTAAACTTTCTAATAAAAAACAAATTTTAAAAGGCAATATTTGACATATTTCATCAAAATAATGCCTTGAATAATTTAATTCAATACATTTGACCACGCATTGGGGTATAGGACGTGGAACACCTCTTATTACAAAATTATTTAGCACATCACGCAATTGATCAAGGTTATCACTAAAGGTTAACCTATATACTAAACATCTACCTAAAATGTTAACATTTCCGGTCCAATCAAAAGTTCTGATCCAAAAATCTTGTTCTTCCTGATACCACGAAGTAATACCCATTTTTTCTGCTTTAACCAACTCGCCAGCTTTGCAATAAAGGTACGGTGGTTGCTTTAGACTGATGTAAAGGGACATTGAACCATCTTTCTGGTTTTTTGTATCAAGAAAAATTCCACGCGAGTTTCCAGCCAAACTGCGAAAAGAAATCTTGACACGTCGTTCTTCTGAAGATTCGCCCGGTAAATTGAACCCTTCTAGTATTAAAGCTTCGTCAGCCTTTGAAAAATATATCGTAGGTGTTTCATAATAATTTGGATATATCCATTCTGTTAAGAACGTAAATTGTTCTGGAAAACCGCTATTATTTCTTCTTTCACGCATATGCGTTGTAGATAATTGCTCACCCCAGTTTCCAATTTCAATATTTGATAAAAGAAATTTAGCTATCTCATACGCATTATTAGATTTCTCTCGTCCTTTCTTATTCTCTCTAAAGGGAAGTATACATAAAGATGTTCCCATGCAATCCGGAGGATGAAAATCTGCAAATGAGATGCAATTTTTTGCATCATTTTCTTCCTCAAATTCTGCAAAACCAAAAATAGAATTCTGATTTCTCATATTTTTTGGCCTTTTCAAGTCAACTTTAATAACAGGACCATATTTTGACAAAGCTTCAACTACATCTCTTGGTATAGCATCATTTGGAATATTTTTAATAAATATTTTTGACATTATGTTAAAAGAATTATATCGATTATTATAATATATTGCGGTGATATTCTTTCGTTATGGGAACGCTTACTAACGTTTCTTTTCTTTTTCTTCTTTTTTCTTTTTTGTAAGGATTTCTTGATATTGATTCTTGAGACGAAAGGTAAGTTGGGAAAGTTTTTTTTTTCAATTTTTCAAATATGTTTAGGAATGAATTCTCTTTTATTACTTTGTTTATGGAGCAAAAACTCCGACTTAAAAAAAAAAGGATCTACATGAGTAAATTGAATTAACACCGGGCATCAAAAGTAAATCATCTTTATAATGAAATATTTCCAAATATGTCTATCTACCTCACTTTGTACTACTCAGGTGACTTCACGCCTTCACGGCTACGTTGATCTACTTTACTGATTTCTCCACTCATATGTATTACTTATCCAAACTTTTATTAACTAGACATTGAGTTCTATAATTAATAAGTATAATTCGTGTATAAATGGCAGTGGTGGCAGTGGATAACCAATACTTTATATACCCGACGCGTGTTGCAAACATTACAATGTGGCTAATCATCAATTTTTCAGTGTGTGTAAGTAGAGTATGGATCCGTTATCCGTTTGAATAAATATTCTTTGAAAAAATTTAATTAATGGTTTAATCATAAATTTTATATATTCTCGCTATCGCTATACATAACGACCAAAACTTTGTCATCAGGTGATCATTGGCTTAGTGACTTTGTGACTATCCGCTAAACCATTTTAATCTGCAGATCTGATTTTTTATGATCACTGATCCAAATTTATTAATATCCAGTCAATCCCAGTCAAAAGAACGGATCCAAACTCTGTGAAATTATTTATCACACATTGCTTATTTGCTTATAATTCTGGCCAAAAAGGTCAAACCCACTCTTTTTCTTTTTACCCTTTTTACTCATTTCCCCATATTTGAGTTTAACACGTGATAATTAACCAATCAATGATGAACATATAATGGAGTAACAAATATAATGGAGTAACGTAACCTAGTAACTATTTAGGTTTTCTCATTACCTTTAGACCTGATGATATGCATTACGATAACGACGTACTGAACGCCTTGATTGTTCAAATAAAATCTAATCTGTACAGTAAGAATGATAGAATATTCGAATTTTAGAATATTTAAAATACATCGATTAAGCCGGAACTTGACAATTTTTTGACAAATTATGATAATAATAATAATAATAATAATAACACTGTCAGTTGTCAGTTGTCATGTTTAGTCGGCCCGGTGATCATACCACATAAGGTTACGTAAACAAATAAGCCACAGTTTTAAGTTAAAAATAAATAGGGGAGAAATTTTTTTGTTTTTTTTTTTTTTTTAGGGTTCTTCCTCCCTTCTTTCACTCAAAAAAAAATAATAATAATAAAATATTTTTTTGTGTTAATAGTCCTTTTTCACAACAATACTTTTGTTCTAATTATATATAATTAAAATGTATAGTTTACCACGTATTCCTCACTCCGTAAACTATATTAAAAACAACAGTTTTTCTAATTTACCAACAAAGATAAATAATGATGTTTTTAACTTTATAGATAGTAATCGTTCATCCATATTGACGAAAAACAAGGTCGCTAATATTGGTAGTAGTGGACCTTCTAATTTATCAGTAAATAATACTTTTAATACCATTAACCGTAATAATAATGGTAATACTTCTAATTTACCGACAAAAAATAATGTTTTCCAACCAGTTAATAATAGCAACAACGGTAGTGGTGGTGGTTCCTCTAATATGTCAGTAAATAATAACGATTATAAGCCCACTAGTCATGTTAATAGTAGTAGCTCTCCTAATATTCTTGAAGAAAAATCTTCTAATATACCAGCAACTAAAGTTCTTGAGGAAATGTATAAGACACTGGAATTGGAAATTCCTCCAGTGTTTACGTTTCGTCAGGAAGTTTTTACACAAAAATTTTTTTGCAGTGCTGGTTTTATGAATAAATGGTATGATACAAAAGAAGCATTTCCGAATCAAGAAATAGCAAGAGAAGCTGCGGCTCAAAGCCTATTGAAGATAATTATGGCTTCGAAAGAATATGAAGATTATCTTCAAGAAAAAGAAAAACAGGGTACGAACCAACAAATTAATGTTGGGAGATTATCCAAATTTTTGAAAAATTTGCATATAAGTCCCGTCACGCCTAATACGCCTAATACGCCTAATATGCCTAATACGCCTGACTCGCCTGACTCGCCTGATATTCCTGTTGCGCCCTTTACATCTGTTATGCCTTTTACACCTGTTATGCCTGAAATAATGAAAAGAAAGAAAAAGAAAAATAAGGGTAGAAATTTTATTAATAATGGTAAATTTAGAAAAGGAAATAAGCAATCCTTTACCCCAAGGAATACGATTCAAAAATTATCCAGGAGCCAAAGGAAGAAGTTAAAGAGACAAATTAGGATGCAACAAAAAGTTATTGGAAAACAGGATGCAGTGCAATCTATATTTTGCCCTAATCCTGTTTCCAGACAGGAAAATAAACCTAAGAAGGTGAAGTTTGATGATAAAATACTTGTTCTTGGTCAAGACTTTATACCAAAACCAAATGGTTCAAAGAGTTTAAGAGGTATAATGAGTCAAAAAAATCAAAATTCATCATACCAATATGATCAAATCTCTAATGAGCCCATAACCTACCAAATGTTGGTAAGGGAATTCTTGGAGAAGGATAAAATCTACGTTCCCCCAAGCAAGTTCTTGGATGATTTTTGCATCATCTCAAATATTTCGAAGCCAAATTATGATTTCTACAATGATGGTTATGGAAACTTCATTGCGGAAATTTTAGTTGGTGACGTTAAATATATAGGTGAACGAGTTTTTTGTTACGTAGAAGAAGCTCAGGAATGTGTAGCAGAGATAGCTTTTAATATATTATATAACAAAAGTGATAGGAATACAAAAACGAAATTTAAAGACAGACTTTCGTTTGCATCGCTAGATCGTTCATTGGACATGCCGGATATGCTTATGCCGGACATGCCTAGCGAAGCAGCTGCATCATTTGGTTTACTACAGCAAAGACATGAAAGTTACATTCCAATATACCCAAACTGCAACTCCTCTTGCATACAACAATTCGGAATGCCGCCACCGCCACCTCCACCTCCACCTCCATTACCAACAACTTATTGCAATATTCCGATGGAACCTTCTCGACCGATGTCTAATACGTCTGAAAATCCATCAACTTTTGATTCAAGTCCTTTGACGGCGCCACTTTCCGTTTCAAATCTTGGTAATGTTCAAAAAACACGTCAAGAAATTCCTACACAACAGATTCAGGTAGAACCTAAACAATCGACTACCGTACCTCGACAACAAAATGATTCAATAACACCTTACGTTTTGCACAAACTTGCTAAAGAAAGAGGGTGGGGCGTCATTGATTATCAGTACAGTAAAACCCTTAAAGGGTATAAATGTACTTGCTATATTAGAAAATTAAAATTTACCTCAAATCCTTGTATTGACAAGGATACTGCCAAGAATCAAGCAGCTAAAATTGCCTTATTAGCATTGCCGGAATATAGCGATTGTGAAATCTAGATCCGTGTCTAGGTAAATTAAAATTATTTATCATAATATTTATTCCAAATTAATGTATTTACTTTACTAATTAGTTTTGATTTCTTTTCTTTTTTTTTAAAAAAAAGATATGAAATATACGAAATAATTTTGTTTGTTCGGTTATTTGGTTTGTGATCACGGCATTAAATATTCTACGTTTAGATTATTATTGCCATAATTTCGAGCATAGCCGCCATCTTATTAATTTTTTTTTTCTTTTTCGTTTCTTTTTCTTTCGAACATATATGTAAATATGTTTATGGTGATGACGGTTCGAAATTGTATAATTTCGTTTTTCGTTCTCACCGTCGTTGTATATAACGAATTTTTTATTTTATTTTATTTTATTTTTTTTCTTTAAAAAAAATGTGTATATATATTAATTTTTCTCTTTCAAATGTGAAGCATTTTCTCTTCAATAGAGAAGATTTTATGTTTGGTGATAACGGGAGTGAAATGTATTTCTTTTTTATCTATATATATATATGTTTCACATTTTTATTTCTTAAAATTAAAATAATACATGTTATTTGGGATAGGGTAATTGTTTGGATTGTATGGTTAAAAATTGATTATCACCTTTAGTGTGTATATTAGAAATTTTAATAACCATTGCAATCTTTATTAATGAATGTTTTAAAAAAATTTTATTCTCTATTTTTTTCAAAGAATTAGAATATTTAACGTTAAAACTTGGCTAATAAATGATTTGGGGGGTTTTTTTTAGATTTATTAAAATTAGATTACTTAGAGGAATTTGGGGGATTCTGTAGTATATCTACATAAAATGTACATAATTTACAAAAAATAAAAATATATACTTTAATGCTATATCTCATTTTTTTTACGTGTAAAGAATTAATCACGTGATTTAATAAATTTAAATTTTTTTTTTTTTTTTTTTTTGGAGGGCGAAATAGTATTTTCCAGCAAGGAATCATTAATTGAAATTATCAAACCAGAAGAATTTAATTTATATCGCTCGTTAATTTAGTAAAGTTAACGAAAAATTATTTTTAAGAAGCGTGTACGTTTCTAATTAATGATATTAAGTGTGCATTCATAAACGAAATTCTTCATAAATACTATAAATATTATGAATTCTTCATAAATTCATAAATTCTATGTATATTTATTCATAACACTCATCAAAATTACAGAAAAAAAATCACTAAAAAGTCACGTGCGGTCACGGAAAGCGAAAAAACATTCCTACCCAACCACAATTAAATACTATTCTATCTAATATCATAACTATAACCTAATCCTAACTCTAAAACTTGATAACCCTCAATGCAAATAGAATGAAAGATATTCAGGATCAGGGTTGTTAAAATAAACGAAAGGTTTATCAAACATTGAATTAACATTTAGATTATAATTATAATTATATTTATTATTATCCTTTCCTATTCCTTCTTTATAACAATAATCTAAATTATTTTGAGCATCAAGATTTCCCGCTTCAGCAGATTTTGTATACCATTCAAGTGCTTTCTTTTCATTTAATTCAATTCCTATACCATATTGATAACAAAAAGCCAAATTATTTTGAGCAAAAGAATTATTATTTTTAGCAGATAAAAAATAATATTCAACAGCTTTCTTATTATTTATTGAAGTTCCTATACCATATTGATAACAAATTCCTAAATTATTTTGAGCTTCAAAATTTCCTGATTCCGAAGATTTTAAATACCATTCAAATGCTCTCTTTTCATCTTTTAAAGCTCCTATTCCATATTGATAACAAGAAGCCAAATTATTTTGAGCATTAGAATTACCCTCTTTTGCAGATATAATAAATAATCTGAGTGCTTTTAATACATTCATATTCGTTCCTATACCATTTTTATAACAAAAAGCTAAATTATTTTGAGCATCAAAATTTCCAGCATCAGAAGATTTAGAATACCATTTAAATGCTTCCTTTTCATCTTTATCAATTCCTATACCATATTGATAACAACAAGCCAAATTATTTTGAGCAATAGGATTATTTCCTTCTTTTGCAGATTTTAAATACCATTCAAACGCTTTCTTTTCATCTTTATCAATTCCTATACCATATTGATAATAAGAAGCTAAATTATTTTGAGCAAAAGAATTTCCTTCTTCAGCCCAATTTAAAACCCATTCAAATGTTTTCATCTTTTCTTTTTTATCCATAATTATTCGTAAAGTATAAAAAATACTTAAAATTAATTTTGCTAAAATATTATTTTTTTTATTAACTAAATTCTTATAATAATCAAAAATATTTTTTTCAATTTCATCAATATTTTTTAAACCAAATTTAACACATAATAAAAAGAAATATATATTATCATAATAATTATTATTATTATTATTACCTAAAGAATTTTTTTTTCTACATTCTTCAAAATCTTTTAAATGTTGTAAAGTTAAATTATAAATTAAATCATAATTTGAATCCAATTTTTTTATTGATAATGGTTTATTAATAATAAATTCTTTATAATAAAATAATGATAATAAATATTTTCCAATAATTACATTTTTTAATTGTAAAATGTAATCCTCAAAATTATCATCATCATTATCACCATCATCATCATCATATTCTTCTTCTTCTTCTTCTTCTTCATTTTCTTCTCTTATATTTAAATCTATCATTTTTAAAATTTCTTCATTTTTAATTGCCAATAAATATAAATTTAAACATTTATTATAATCTATATAATAATAATCCATATAACCACATTGATGAAATAATCCATTTAAACTTGAAAACCAAATATCATGATTTTTATGATTTTGTATTAATTTAACAATATCATTAATATCATTAAATCGTCTTAATTTATCATTAATTATTTTAAATGAATTAATTAAACATTCAGCTTGATTTTCTTTAAATTCATTGGTATTATAAATTATTGTATTAAATAATTTATTCATAAATTCTTTTAAAAATATTTCATCTTTATTATCGTTTTTATTCATTGTTTTTTTTTAAAAAAAAAAAATAAAAAATAAAAAATAAAAATAAAAATAAATAAATAAATAAATAGATAAATAGATAAATAAATAAAGAGTTATTAAAAGGATGGTTATCTTTATATATAAAATTTACTAATTTACGAATATTTACCTATCGTAAATTTATGTGTGAACAAGAAAAAAAAAAATTTTTTTTTTTCTCCCGTCTAATTTAAACAAACAAAAAAGAGTCTAAACCATATTAAAACGTTCGGTCATTTCCGTCCCGTGAATTTTGTTCAGGTTACACGATGTTAAAAAAAACAAGGCCTTCTTTTTGATTATTATGTAGTTAGCCGTCAAAAAAGCGTAGCCCCATTCCTGATTTGTCGATCACTCGGACCCGTATAATCGTGGAAATATCACGGAATTCCATGGAAATTCTATCGGCGATCAAAAGTGCTACTACTATTTTGCGACAAACTACATTATAATCCATCTTTGGATAGAATGACGATCATTTTAAAGAAATAATTCGAAGCAAACTACAATAATGAAGTTGCCAAATCCAGAATCCAGGCAGGGAATTAGGAAAACTTGACTGTGAATTCTATGGGCTGGAGATTAAAATTCGTTATAGTGAGAAATTCACTATACTGAAGGTCATTTTATTATATATAAAAAAAATCTGTACCTGAACTTTTCTTCATTATAGCAAGTTATTCACTATATAAAAATTCACTATAGAAGAGGGTGAACTGTAGGTGTAATTGAAGAAAGTTATAGCAAAATAGAATCTCTAGTAAAAGAATCACTTTTCCTTTTCTTTAAGTAAAGGCTTATTAACTTATATTTAATTCTTTCTTAATTACATGATCGTTAAAATTAATTTAAATAATTTGAAAATATTTCATAATTTCCCATTTTAATCTCATATCATTTATTATAATTACCCTTTTTATAATAACCAAATACTGTATATCATCAAAAATTGTAACTTCAGATTACAACGGATTACGGGTCAAAAGTACAAAAGTGTGCTGTATTAAAGTTGTAATACGAAATTATGTCGTAAATTGTAATTGGTTGTATTTCAAATTAGTGTAATATTTGTGATTTGAAATCACAGTTACTATCAGTCTGTCGACAATCAATCATTTTTTATCAAAATTAGATTAGCAGAATTTGGACAAAATTCCAGCCCGGATTAAGTTTTTTGCTGTACTGTAAATGTGAATGAGGTGTAACGGTCAAAAATGGATGTAATGAAAAATTAATAATAGTCAATATTTTAATAGGAACTATTACCCTATTACATAAAGTTACAACTTTTACGGCAATACGTTATCAACTTTACGACAATACGTTATCAACTTTACGGCAATACGTTATCAACTTTACGACAATACGTTATCGACTTTACGGCAATACGTTATCAACTTTACGACAATATTTTATCGACTTTACGGCAATACGTTATCAACTTTTACGGCAATACGTTATCGACTTTACGGCAATACTTTATCGACTTTACAGCAATACGCTATCAACTTTATGACAATATTTTATCAACTTTACGGCAAATACGTCACAACTTTTACAACCTGATTACAACAGCAAACACTACTAATCCAACTTGATATAGGCATAATAATTTTTAATTTCATAATTATTTATTTATATTATCAAATAATTCATTAAATCTAATAAACAATAATTTCAAGTATTTTTTTAATAATATCATCTGGAGTCTGGACCAAGTATATTAGGATAATAGATTAGGATTTTTTTTTAAATTTGGTATACTCTCATTTTTTTAATAACAAATATCTTCCATTTTTTTTAAAATCGTTTCCTTTTTAATTGAATTAATTGAAATGAAGAAATTTAAAAAAGATTTTCTTGAGTTAAATCAATTGATTCAATCAAAATTTTTTTTTTCAGGAATTTAATATCTTCAATTATGACATAAAGTACGGTATCAGGAAACATCGACAATTAAATTTTTCAAAAAATAATTAAGTATTATTTGTTTATTATTTATTTTTGAAATATTATATTTATATAATTACTAGGTCAGCCACGACCTGTCTAACCTCGATATACCGATATTCGATATATCGATATACTATTAAAAACTTGATATACCGATAAAATTTTATTTTCCCACTATATGTGAGGACATATAAATATTGGTATACCATTGATATAATGATATTTTCTAAAAATTTCATATATGTCCCTACATATCATTATATAAAGGTTTGACTGTAATACCAAATTGTTCTTGGCCTATTTAAACAAACTCATTAGTCCCAGTGCGAAGCAATGGGTAACTGCTAGTATATAATTAGTAGTACTGTTAGGCGCAGATGAATCATGCATTACACAATTCAAAGATGATTTATACAGGCTAATCTAAACGTTAGAAGATCGACATGAATTTTTTTATTATATTATATAGATATGATATAATTAATATATCTATCGATCGATCACATACAAAGTATTATTAGTATTATCCAATGTAAAGAATCCGCCAATAAATATCGTATATCTAAAAACATGTACCATCAAGTAAATTATTACTAAACGATATTAAACTATAATTTAATATGATCATACATGTACAGTATGAGCTCGTTTCCCTATATTCAATCGTAATATCGTAATAACTAATATCGTAATATCGTAATATCGTAATATCGCAATATCGCAATATCGTAATATCGTAATATTGTTATCGTATTATCAGTTATCCTCATAAGTTCATGCAGATTTTACATAATTGTTATTTAGGTCAGTTACTATGTATTAGCATAATAATAAAATTAGTAACGGGAGTTTATTATAAAAATTGCATGAACGGTCCCGTCAAACCGAGAATATTATTATGATAATATTATTATTGGATGATTAAACTATATAATAGTCTAATCATCCAATAATATATAAATATTGTAATATCGTAATATGTGTAATAGTTATCCCATCGGTATTATGTATACACTGATGGATTTTTTTGTAAATTATTCCACCGGTATAAAATCCATCGGTGTATACGCGCCATACACAATGAGATAAACTTGTTATTCCATGGGTATCTAACCATATACACCGATGCTCCCCTCCCTTCAGGGGGCCCCAAGGCATCGGTGAATATTTCAGTTATTCATTGATACCCATGGAATAACAAGTATACTTATTTCACGGGTTCACGGCTGCGCCGGGAAAATCATGATATTCCAGTGACTCCGTGAAGGTATAAAGTCCTTTAATATACTTATTTTGACTAATAATGATAGACTTTTATCTCAATATTTATTCATCTTTTAAATAAACCCCACCGTGAGAATATCAAGAAATAAAAAATCACAAATTTTTAACTAGGAACCGAGGGATAAATCGTAATATTCATTCACCCTCTAAAAATTATCAATATGATTTGGTCATTTATTTATTTTGAGAGAGGGGAAAGAAATCAACTTTATTATTAAAAAAAAAAAAATCAATAAAAAAAAAACGGATTAAAAGAATACTAAACTAAATCTTCACATAAAATAAATAAATAAATACTAAACTAAATAAGTTTTAGTAAATTTTTTAAGAAAAATTCTCATGATTTTAAATTTTGATCGTCGTTTCCTAATTAGTAATTGTATTATTTTTATCTAACTTTTGTTAGATTAAGAAAAACTTTTAAGAAGAAAAGCCATACCGCGCAAATAACAATACGAATAAGGAAGATAAGGAATTGTAAATCATTTTCGAAATTTGGGTTAATAAATGGGTATTTTGCCAAAAAAAATCCTTTTGTTCTTTTTTCTTTGATATTGTTAAAACAAATATTTTTCTTTTTTTTTTTTAAATTCAAAAAAACTTGTTTTTTAACTTTTCACAATAATTAAACTTGTATGTTTTGAGCAATAATTACTGTATATTAATATGTTTATAATATTAATTATTGATTTTCTTCATAATTTCTTTGGTTAATTTATTAATGAAAAATTGGACCGGTTTAAATTAATTCTTCTGTTTTGCTTGAACTTTAAAAAAAAATCATCAATCGAAATTTTTTCTTTCAATAAAAAACGAACTTTCTATAATAACTTTCTATAACAATTTGTGATACAATTACTTCGTCGTTCATAAGGCTTTTGAAAACTGGCTCATGACCTGGAATGACCGGTATTATGCAAGAAGATCCCTTCTTTCTGCTTGATGAACATTTTTTCGATGGAAAAATTGTTTCTTCTAAATATTCAAAAAAGAAAGGAAATAAGGATCTTTTTTCATTGATAATGAGGTCATAAAGTCATACGATAAAAAAGTTTTTGAGAAAAAAAAAAAGAATGTGATGATATATGATTGAAATTTGGTGCATCTGATAAAGCAATCACACTTTTTAACGTTGAAATTGTATGACCAATTTACTAAATTTGGGGTCGTTTGAAGCCGGTTTGATCACGTGACTTAACATTTTATAAATAGGTCATTTTTTTTAAAAATAAAAAGATTAACATAATATAAAAGTCATAGAATAAGTGTATTTTGGTCTGCCCTAAAAGTTTACTTAGGGAAAAAAAGTTGATTTTAAACAGTGTTTTTGACTTCACATATGAATGAATAATCTTTACCGATCATATCCAAAAATGGATGACGGTATACACAGCAGGTTAATCATAAGTTTGCGAAAAGTAAAAAAAATAAAATTTAAGTCATGTGATCGATCCCGGCTTTAGACGACCCCTAAAATTGGTAATTACATAAAAGGATAATCATAAACAACTCCAATGTTACGTTCTATCATATGAAAAGATGATTACTTACATAAGTGTACGACCATGATAAATATTGGATTATCAATACCGATTCCATACGAATACCTGATACAATTAGAAGGGAATGATTATATTTAGCGTAAAAAATGACGTAAAAATCTTATTTTTAGCAAAAAAATGTTTAAAATAATGCTGCAATATTCTCTCATATAACCCTCGTATTTGAATTAAATTAATTTCATTCAAAATTCCTTGTTATGGAGGAGAGATTCCTTATTATGGAGGAAATAATAATCAGGAATTTTTGTGTAGGTTCATTTATCGAAATATTTAGATCATGCGGAAATAAAGTTTAGGGGCTAAGGAGCAATTATATAGGAAAACCTGTTTAAAAAAAAATATTTATAGGCACATTTTCTCTGAGCAAACATTTGTTTATTTTCTGTGAACAGTTCTTGATTTTTCGGATCCTTTAATATTAAAGATAAATTATTCTTTTTATCTTGTGTGATAATTAAATAATTATTATTTAGTATATTAAAATAATTAATTGTGATGTATTTGGTAATGCTGAAATTAAATTCTACATGTTAAATTAACGTTACCGGCTATAATAAAATTGTATTTGACATTGACTCGACATCATTCAACGTCGACTCGACATTGTTCAACATCGACTTTTCGATGTAGGTAGATTCAATATTGCTCGATATATAGACTCAATATTACACAATTAGCCAGTAATCTAATATAGGAGTTCACCTCATTTGTATATAATAACTAAAGTCTTAATTCGTCCAAAATAATCTTAAAATTGTGGTATTAAATCTCCAAGTACTTCAATTAAAATCATCTATACACGTCCAAGTTAAAAAAATAAAGAAAATTTAGTAAGTAATGACTGTTATAGGATATTGTTGGACAAGGTTTCGTAATGCAAAACAACGTTAAAAAAAAAACCATAGTAACTATTGTTATCATATCTAGTGAATGTAACTAATAAAATAAGTAAATGTGAAATAAAACTTACCAATCATACAATCTTTTTTTTTTATCGATTTCAAGTGTTATCATCGGGAATTCCAAAATCTGTTACGCCACCTTGTTGTATTCACGTGATTGATTTGTAAAGCTTGATTACGTGTTCTTATAGTAAATGCAAAGTATAAACTTACTGTACCTTGTGATTCCATTCCATTCCAAAAATGCTCAACTGGCCTTGACATTTACTCCCTTTTGTAGGTATCTAAACAACTTTCTTTGTTCAACAACAATATGATGGTCAATATGATGGTCAACATGGTACAAATAAATTTTTTTCTTTTTACAAAGAATAATTAATTTGCGAAAAATATCTTCTTTATAAATATGAAGTATTATTAGAAGGTCAAAAATAATCAAATTTCATCCTTTTACATTGATTGCATCGGCTGTAAATGTTACCATTGAAGCTACTATCGATGTTACTATTGATATAATTCCTCTTTTCAGCTCATAACATATACATTTCTTCTTCAACAAGAAATTTTTATTAACGAAAATTATTCATTGAAAATTTATTTCTAGATGTTGATATTCGATAACAATAATCGAAATATCCTATGTCTAAAATACAGATATTAATAAGAGGGATTGATATTAGGAGGTATTTCTTACTTATTTATTACAGAGCTTAACAATAATTTAGGCGGGCGTGATGGTGAAATCTATTATATCAAATTTTTGTTCCAAGATTCATATTAAAGTAACATTACACCATTTTGTTCCAAGATTCATATTAAAGTAGCATTGCACCATTTTTGTTCCAAGATTCATATTAAAGTAGCATTACACCATTTTTGTTCCAAGATTTATACTAAAGTAGCATTACACCATTTTTGTTCCAAGATTTATATTAAAGTAGCATTACACCATTTTTGTTCCAAGATTCATATTAAAGTAGCATTACACCAGTATTACACCGGTGTAATGCCGAATTGGTGTAATGTGCCGTAATATTTCGGCATAGCTTGAACCTAATTCACCCATAACAACATGGATACTTGAAATTTATAAGATATTCTTCTTAATAATAAAGGTTCCAATATTCTACGCTTGAATTAAGAGAATTTGAATATCTAACAATTCTCAATGATCCATAAAAAATATACTTGAAGAAAAGTTGTAAGTTGGTATATAAATGCTTTCTTAACAAGGCATATTGTCTATTATTAAATTTGATTATAATTTCATCTCTAGGGAACAAAGTAATAAATGGGGAAGGACGACCTCTGTGTGTCTACTTATATAGGAATACGTAGAGGATGACATGACGTTTTGGCAGAGATTCTTAGATGAGATTCCCTACCTAATTCAAGCCCCCTTTCAAGCCCTCTTGATTTAAAAGGTGAAAAACTTTTTGCAATGGCTTTTACTGTAAATGTGTATTAACGTTAAACTGATAAAAATTCTCGGTAATAATAGAGGACCAGTAAGCTTAATAATTATTATGATTAACTACTCATAACATTCTAAGCCGTTTCTATGCTTAAACAAATAAAAACATAATGTTTTTAACTAATTCAATTGAACAATCCTTTTATTGAATCAGAGTGAGATCTTTTATGATTGCTCATCAAATGAGTTACAGCAATGATAATGACGTGTATATCGCGTAACCTTTTACCATAAATAAAATAAGAAAACAAGTCGCCATATTTTTAGCAAATGTTAATGTGATATTTCTTTCTCACACTAAGACTTTCTTTTCCAAGTAATTTATAATGATACGGAATTTTCTAAAATGCTGTGAAGAGAGAAAAAGGTAAAGTGTTACAATATTTCATTGTAATTGATTTAATTGTGACGAAAAAAAAAATTTTGACCGCATAAAAAATTTTAACAATAGGTTCAATTCCTCGATTTAAATCAAATAATATGTTTTAACATAACATTGTTCTCTTAATATATTAATATATAAGCTTGCTACGCTTTCTAGGTAAGTTTATTTACTTTATAAATGATTACTAAATCTCATGATATACTTCTGATATATATATTATATTTATATTATATTATAGTACTATATTTTATTTTTTTTCTCGATTTAAATCTTTGAATAAATAAAATAAATAATAACAATAATATAAAAAAATTTTTTTTTTTTCTTCTCTTCTTGAATATGCATAATATTCGGGGTGAATTCAGGGATTTATTTAGGTAGATTATCTAAACAATTATTTATAGTATTGATAAGAAGGATTATTTAAGATTATTTAAAATATGGGGATTCTTTTTTTTTGAAAGTTCTAACCAAAAATTGAGACATTTTGGCTTTTTTGTCACACGTTAGCCCAAATTATCTGGAAACATTTGATTACGTGCACATTGAAAAAAAAAATAATTTAACCAAATTTAAACCAAATTAAGGGATATAAAAAGTTTTTTTTTTCATGTATTATCGTCATAAGAAGTCACGAATCAGAAGGAATCGAAAGGAGATGGAAAATATTTTTGATATTTTAAATGTCACATTTTTTTTTTCTCTATCCCTGGGGTTTATAATATATTAAATATTTAATATTTATATTAACGCGTCATCACAATTTTTTTACCTTTTTCAAGAGATGATCGATTACTAATTGAAAAAATGGCTTACCAAATAAGTCAAGTTATTTATTTATAATGGAGAATTTAATCCGAAAAGGCTTATTATTGGACAATTCACGTGGTTTTTTTCATCAGGAATGGAACATAATTTCCATAATTAAGTCATTATAGATTTTTTATATTATAATTTCTTTTTAATACAGTAATAAAAATGACATATTATTATATCTATTATAATTATGTATTTTTTTTTTTTATTTTTTAAAAAAAATAAAAATATAAATATAAATACATAATTATAATTATATAAACAAAGAAATATTTTATGATATCTTACGTTCATTTCTACAATTTCTTCAATATATTTATTATAATAAAAAAAAAGTTTTTTTTTTTTTATACACGTATTTATTTTAGTAAACCAAACAAAAAGTTTTCACAAGCTGTATACAATATATTTGTGGCGTGGGCGAGAGTGAACTTGATTTAGTATAGATCGTTATGAAATAGTAAACACATTTACCGTATGAATTTTTTTTTTTATACAATTTTACAATAATTTTTTCGGCTTCGGTCTAAACAGGCTGGGATGATTTATTAATAGGATAATAATACTTTATTTTAAATTTTGCGATATAAAAAGAGTAAAAAAAATTCCATAAAAAAAAAAAAAATTTTTTTTTAAAAAAAATAAATAAATAAAAAAAAATAAATAACAAAAACTTTCCTCTCACTTTTATTTTTTTCTTTTTCTCAGTTTATAAAATTTTTCTTATAAAAAAATTTTTTTTTTTTTTTCGACTAATAAAAAAAAATGTCAACACAAAATTTTTCAATCGAAGATTTAGCAATTTCATTAATTGATAGGTTGGATAGGTGTAATATTTTTCCACCACATTTAAATAATCCAGAAAAATTGATTTCTTCATCAAATACTTTAAACGGTTTATCAATAAAACATCCAAGAAGATCTCCAAACGCTTTTTTATTATGCAGAAAAAATGTACATCAAGAAGCAAAACGTAAAGGAACTTGCAATATGCGCGTAATAAGTAAAGTTACAGGAATTTTATGGAGGAACGCTTCACCTGAAGAAAAGAGCGTCTATGAAAGATTGGCTGATCGAGTAAATGAACTTCATTGTAAAAGGGCTAGTATAGTGTCTGATACTCCTCCTTTAACTAAAGTTAAAGAAACTTCTGGTTTTAGACCTTATTCTATCCCTTCACATTTAAATCCTTCTATAAATTTATTAAATTCTTCATTAACTACATCGAATCTTCCTTTACCGCTTCCAATTTCTTCTTATTCTCCTTCTTCCATTTCTCAAATTACTTTAAATAATCCTTCTTCTGCTTTTGATCAAAAAGATGACTTTTTTTTAAATAATTTAAATAATTCCACAAATTATTTTAACCCTTCCTCATCAGATTTTAATAATAATCAGGTTATTCTTCATAACAACAATAATGATAATCATATATTATCATATATATATAATAATTATATAGTACCTCCTCCTGTATCTTCGCATACCTTTTCTAATAATTTATGAGATTGTAAAAAAAATAGTATTGGTATTTCTTATTTTACTTTTTTTTTAAAAAAAAAGTACGCGTAAGATAATTATTCAGATATATATTTCATCATTTCATCTACAAATGTAAATTTTCAATAAATTTCCTTTAGAGAGAGAAAATTAATTGTTTACAAAATAATAATAATAATAATAAAAAAAAAAATAAAAAAAAAAATTTTTATTATTAAAATATGTTACAAAGCCTAAACTTTATTTTAATTTTAAGTATTGATTTTCGTTATTTGATTGATATACAAAATATTAACATATAACAAATAAACAAAATCAAGTAATTGATTTCTAGAAAAAATTCTCATTAAAAAATTTACATGTGATTATTATTAATAAAATATTATTATATTAAATATGCAATTTTTTTTTTTTTTACGATGATAACTTGACAGTTTTTTTGTTTTTATATTTTTTTGTAACCCGAACAATTAATTGTAGATCACTCCTTCAATCAATGAAATCAATGGAATAACTCCGATATGGTAAAAATTCTTTCTTCTTGTATACTAATTCTAGAAAATTCATCTATCGGGTGAAAAGTATCCGATTTGAATTATTAAGGTAATTTTTAATCATTCTCCGAATAATTTTCATTTAATTTTAAGTTAACAAATAGGATTTAATTTAATATTTACTATGTGTCAATATTGTCAATGAATAATGGTTACAAATATAGTAACAATAAAAAAGAAAAAATATATATATTATAATTCTACTTTATAAGTAATTTATTATTTATTTTGGTAAGACTTTCTTTTTAAATGTAATATATTACACAATTTTCACTCTCTTGGCAAAAATTGTATTGAATATGAAAAAGCCACATACCAAAATGAGCGTCAGTTGATTGAACCTATCTTTGAACTTCAATCAGCCCCTAAATTCTTTGACATCAATCAGCAAGTTCTAAACAGAATTTATTTTTGGAATAATCAATTTCCAGTGGCTTGAAAAATATCATTACCTTTAATGTTATCTAAAATCAATTTTTTTCAAAAGGAACTTCTTGATAAGGTGTTATCTTTCTTTATTATAAAATTTCATTTTATGCATATGAATAACGATAACATTATGATGATATGATTCAATACAACAACATCACTTTTTCGTTGATTTTCATTTTCCCATTTGTGAGTTTTAAAACAGAATATTTTTTCATTTTTGGTTAACAAATATTCCCTTTTATGTTTAATAATTAAAATTACTTTATTCCGGATTCTCAAAGATATTCGTAAATATTTCGTTAAACCTTTAACTATTTTAAAATTGGAAAAAATAAGTTGCATTATTATTATTCAATCATTTAAAATTATTTAGTGACCTATATTTGTATTCATATTAATCTTGCAAAAGCCAAGAGTAAATATTGTAATAATCGTTTTTCATACTTAAAATGGTTTAACTTGAAAAATTGCTAACCCTTTTTTTTCTTAACACCATTAAAGAACGGATGTCATAAAAATCATTATACTATGATCGTTAGTGTCTCGGATTTTTTGTCGGATATCCGGTACCAACTGATAAACGGTTCGGATTTCTCGGATATTTGGATAATGGATAATAAACCTTATCCAGTTTAGGCATTGTCCATCTATAACTATTGTATAAAAATCCGTTTATCTTTCATCCGAACATCCGTCGGAACTCGGATTATTCGTAAATCCGACGGATTTCCGGATGACGGGATCGGATACACTAACACTACTACAACCCATGACGAATTATTATACCGTTATTAACCATTATTGGCCACCACAATTTTGACCAGAATTATGAGGTCCTTGGCCGGCATTAAGTGTAAAAAAAAGGAGTGTTATAATATATGCTTAAATTTTCGTATTACAGTACTAATTTTTATAGGTTGCAATTCTAACCAACTATGTTTTTTAAAAAAATAAGTGGGCTCATTTAAATCTTATCAAGTAATTTACGAATTTTAATTAATTGAAGCATGTTGACAAAAATTCGTTAAAAATAAAAAAAAAATGTCATACACAGAATCATTAAAATATTCAATTATTAATAATAAAATTCTGATCACAGAAGTCACAGACATATATACAGTTATACAATACGCATCCTTTTATTAAATGATTAAACACGGAGATAATCATTAAAAGTATTTGTCATCCCCGAATATAAACCAGACTTGGACTCATCATTCGTGTAACTAGGTTTAAATTCGATTAATCGACTCGTAGTACTGTACCAAAATTTAATTTTTGACGATAACTTAATTAACTTATGATACTTAAAATAGTAAATTAAAGAATTTTTAGGAAAGATAGACAATAATAACAAGTATTATAAGACTTGTAAAAGGGAGTTCGATAATTTATTATATTATCTTCTACGTATATTTTTAAAGGCTTAGCACTCATTATCCACCCAAAAAAGGAAATACTATTTTTGCTCATTGACCTTTTTTTGGTAAAAGCGCTAATTACTAGCTACTAATGACTTACACCGTGTTTACCTAAATACCGGTCGGCTTAGGAGGCGTTTTCTTTCATTCAAATGTATAGTTATACTTATTTAAGTAATTTATTATAAAAAATTAACAATATATAAAATGTATAATTTTTTTTTAACATGAATATAAAAGGTATGACAATAACATGAAATTTTAAAACATACTGTACTGTAAAAAGCATCTGTTCGATTATCATCAGTTCAAGAATGTAACTTCCATGCGAATAAAAACTGAATAAAAACTGATTTGGTTCAAGCGCAGTAGCAAGGTGAAGATCGTGATGATCAGGCAAGAAAGTTGTACCAAAGAAAAAAAAATCAAAAATTATACTGTAAATATCAGAAATTCAAAATTTTGGCATCGCTAATCGAGTTACATTCTTTGCTTTTACTAGACATCTAGACATAAACTTTGATCATTCTTTTTCATACCATTAACTTTTTTTTTTTTTTTTAATAGATTGGGACAATTCTTGCTTCTAATATAAATGAAGAAGATAATATTCTTCGCTTCATCATTTCAGACGCATAAAATCACCAATACGACGTTAACACAATGCATAGAATAAAATGATTTTAAAATCTCATAATTCTTTATTTGCGTAATGTTATGCTCATTTGAATAATTAACGCGATATAAATTAAAAAATTTGCGTTTAGCGTTTGATTTGTCGTGGCCTCTATAGATTCGTACTTACTTACGAATCTTGGCTTTTTCCGTTCTTCGGAACTCAGAAGCCCACCCGATCCTAAAAAAAGAAGAAAAGAACGGTTATCTGATGGTATCTGATTTTATCATGCCGAATTTTATATTATAAATAAGAAAATCTTCCAGCTGAAGAAGATTTTAATGTTATAGTTTATGAAATAAAATAATTTACTTTTGTCAAATTGAAATTGAATAGAAATTAGAAAGCAGCAAGTTACTAGAGGTTATTAATATAAAAAAAACTTAAATTATTTTTAATATAACATATATACTGTATATATAACATATATAAAATTACTGAAATTTTTTTTTTGTCCTAATTGAGAGATCCATAAATTCAAAAAAAAAAATCACTCAATTTCAAGATCACTATGAAAATTCCATAAAAAATATCTGTAATGATTTGTTATGTACATTAAATTCCAGCATATTAAGTGATTTTGAATTCGTGGAATTCACGTGAGCAAATTTACCAAGTGCATCGCACCGTATAAAATTTTGTAGAACTAAAGATGACTTCTTTTCGATAAGCACATCAAACAATTAACAATATCAAAGTTTATATCGTATGATAATGGATGAAAAACACTTATAAAAATTTTTTTTAGAAAATTGATCATGAGTTTTTCTGGAGTTAAAACTAGAAAAATGATCATTCATCGGAGTTTTTTCCAGAAAATTTTTTATAGGGAACGATGGATTGCTAAAGACGGGTATCTATTTTATTTTAAGTTTGATGTTTAGTAAAGAATAGAGAGAGGGGTTGGGTTATCATATCACACAATCTAAGTGGTCTGGGAATGGACTTAAGTCTGCGCGAAAGGCCGGAGGCTATTATATCGCAGTGCCAAGAGCTATTACGTTAGGTATATTTTTTATTCTAATTTTTTGAGAAAAACAAAGGAATAAAGATTTTTTTTATTTCATTCGCAGTTCTGACTGAGTTACTAATCATTATCTTGCTACTTCTATAGCAACAACCCTATAAAAAATTTTTATCTGAATATTTCCGTGCTTTCGTAAAAATTCCGTGAAAATGATACATTCACGGATATCCGTGTTAGAGATGAAAATTTCCATGATTTAAGGCTATAAATTCCTACATTTACGGAGAAAAACATGGAAATATAAACACGGATCAACATTTTTTTACAAGGCAAGCACAAGACGAGGATGTAAAAATCGTTTTAAAGGAGTGTTGAAATTGAAAAAAATGAAATCGGAAAATAATTTATCGAGGATGAAGATAAAGCATGTATTCAGCATTGATATAATAAATACGCTGGTCGAAGTGGTATGGTTTCCACTATGGAAACCTTGATGTATGTAATTTAAACTTGTCCAATTTCCATAACATTTCCACAAAACTGGAAACTTCATTGAAATCTGGCGTACACCGTAGTTTTCACCAAATTTTAATAGTATAAACTTCGTGTAAACCATATCTCTTCGACCTGTGATAATATCGGAAATAAGGAGCCATAAACATCATTTAAGTATTCGAATTATATGATAAATAACACAATTTCCATAGACGAAAAAAAAAATTCTCTGATAATTAATTAAAGCCTCTACATTCGATCGGCCCTAGATATAGCGATATAATCTCTGAAAAGAATTTAAAGAATTTATTGGTAGATTCGGAATAACGAGGGGATAATGTTCAAGTGATTGAAAATGTCAAGCAAACTTCTAAATTTATTTTAAATTCATTCTTATTTTAACATATTTTTAACAATTATATACCGCTAACTACAGTATATAGGTGATGTTTTTTTATCCTTTTTTTTAAAAAAAAAGATTTACAGGCAAACCTCTATATACTGATACAGCTTTAAAATACCGGTATTGGTACATGTAATTCGTTAGCAAATTATAATGCGGGCCAAAATCTAGTTCTTGCCAGCATTATGGTTAACTTTTTGGCCAACCAATAATAATTTCAACCCTCATATGATCGTTAACTCAGCCAAATTTACGGTGCTGGGCAAAATTAAGTATTGATGTAACCAAAATATCGGTATATGTTGTGTACATTACTATAAATGAATAAAGGAATTAACATGGGCGGAATTATGGCATTTTTTGGCCTGCATTACTAAATCTTGGCCTGCATTACGTGCAAAAGTTGTTGCTTATTTTCGGATGAATACGGTATGTTATATCGTGAAATTATATAATATCGGTATAATGAGTTTTTTTATTAGTTGCGAAACGGGACAAAGGAAATTCATCGGTATATGTCAATTATCGGTATATAAACTATCGGTATATCGAGGTTAGACTGTAATATTAAAATTTATTTATCAAAAGGGCATTTTAAAGTTTAAAAGTATTTGACAAAAATATGCACAACAAGCAAATAAAGCAGCATCGTTCAATGTGATCGAAGTGTGATCTGTGATCTAAATTCTAAAGCGTGATCTTAAAGTGTGAAGATCTAAAAGTCAAGTTCAGAATTTACAGTGTGTAAGGGGTCTATTTATTAGAACACAAAAAAAAAAAATGGGTTATTAAAAAAAAAAAAATTTCGTACGTGAGAAGACAATGTGCGTATCAATAAGTGAGAGTAATATGATTTCCTTTTATAAAGTTTTAAATGCAAAATGAATAAATAAATAAATAATGAAAAAAATAACGGTTGAACAATGAATAATAACATGTCTAAATGAAAACCAATGAAATACAATGAATAATGCATAATTGATAAAAAAAACCCCACCAACAATATTTTATTATTTTTTTTCGTCAATCGCACGATATCAAATAATCAAAGGTTTAAAATTATTATATTTGTTATTTATTTCCGGTTTTTTTTTAGTTTTTTTCGTAAAACATTCTAAGAGTTCATTTCCCACGTTATCAATAAAGTAATGTTAGTAAGCAACCTCTGAAATTTATGAAACACATTATAATTTTCAGAATTTTTATGTTTTTTTTTTATTCTTATTAGGAAAAAAAAAGGAATAATACAATTCAATACAGGAAAAAAAAATTATATATATATATATATATATTATATAAAATATAAACACAAGAAAATTTCACCTCAAATAATTCATTGACGTTGATAAGAGATCTAGGATCGATCCCCTAAAAGGGTAAAATGTTTGACCGAATTTATCTTAACCTTTAACTCAAACACACTTTCGACTCTAATCTTCTAAGTTCTTAATCATAGATAACTCACTCCGGATTCTCTATACTAAGAAAGGTTAAAAAAACTTTTTTTCCTTTACTTGGATCACTTGTATAATTTTGATTCATAACAGGAAAATTTTTGGTTGGGTAAAATTAATTATTTTATCTTAATAAAGCAACAAAACAGAGTTACAGTACAGTGGGTTACAAAAAGTGACCAACCACTTAAAAATAAATAAATTCAACTGTTTTCATTAATATCTTTATATTTATATTAAAATTAGAAATGTAAAATCCATTTTATGAACGTTTTTTCACGTAAGTAATAATAAAATTGTGTATAATAAATATTCAATTTTCAAAGTGAAAAAAATTTCAACTTTTTAAACAGAATAGCTAGAGTAAAGTAAATGCTAAAAATCGATTCTTTGACTTAAAATTTGCCTATCTTCAAAATATTAGAAAGATTCGATCAGTAGTTGTTGAGGAATCCACATAATTTTATACGCAGATCATCAATTTTGCCGATTAACAACTACGACTCAATTTTTAAAATGTTGAAATTTTTTTCTACTTTGAAAATTAAGTATTTATATATAATAGCAAGAAAATGGTTCAAAATAAGTTTTTACACTTTTAATTTTAAATAAAAATAAAATTATTAATGAGAATAATTAATTTTATTAATTTTCAGGTGTCGGTCACTTTTTGTAACTTACTGTATTATGATATTTATTAATTTGGGTTCATTCACTTCATTGTCAAAGTATTCAAGTTGTTTTTTTTTTTTTCTTTTTTTACCGTCAATTTTGGTCATAATCCATTAAATTTAGAATAACATAATTAATAATTGACCAAATTTAGTAAATTTATTTAAAAAATTCTTTTTTTACTTTATTTATTTAAATTATTCAAGTTTTTTTAATAAAATCCTAATGTGTTTCAATTCTATATATAAAAATTATATAAATCCTCTTTCAAAAAATAAGAACTCCCACTTACTTACTTTACGTTTATTGTTTAAATTTACCGTGAAAAAATTCAAAAAATTATTTATAATCATGCAGAGTAATTTTTGATATTACATGAAATATAATAATATGGATATCATGGATAATAAATATTCCTTTCAATGAGCTAATTTTCTTTGTGTACATGCATAAAGAAAAAATATAAGTTTTTTTAACAGAATTTTAAAAAAGTAAAAAAGTAAAATTTATGAATGGGCTAAAAAAGATGAAAAAGGTATTATAGTCTTGAAAAAACCAAACATTTCTCCAAAGGTTTTAAAGTAATTCTAAAGTAAGTTTTATTTGATTTAATTATTAAATGATCTTCATTTTGATTTTTTTTTTTTTTATGAAATAATCTTCCCTTTTTGCACGCTTATATATTTATATTTATACAGGTGAGGTAATTTATTTAAAAACGACTAGAATATGCAACTTACTAGTATATTTCATTTATTTACAAAATAAATTAATCAACCGGTATATTTTTTTCTATTTTTCTAATATCAATAGGATTATTATTATTATAATTTTTTTGTTTTTCCAATTTTTTTTTTTTTTGTTATTTTATTCATTATTATATGTATTTCTTCAAATATTTTATTTAAAAAAAGAATTTCCCAAATTTAATAAATTTTCTCGTTTCAATATATTAAAATCTTTTAAAATAATCATTACTTTAATTTTATATTTTAGATGTATCATTCATAACATTTGTGACTAATAATACTCCCTCAATTTCTTCGATTAAGAAATGATATGATTTTTTTTGTCCATTTTTATTTTTTTTTTAGAAAAATACATTTAAAGTTCGTGTTGCGTATTTCATTGGTATTTCGTTATCAACTGGTATACCCTTCCTTTGTAATTCGGGCCATAAAAAAATTTATCAAAAACATAAATAAAAGTGCCACGTTTCAAAATTAATAAGATATCAAGAGATATCAACAATTTCAGGCTATATTTACACTCATAATACGTGTTTAACCATATAATTTATTTATGTACCGAGCATTGTAAGGCATTGTAAGGCACTGTAAAGCATGGGAAAGAAATTGTAAAGCATTGTAAAGCCTTGTAAGGCATTGTAAGGCACTGTAAGCATGGGAAAAGAACAATATCAACTTCTTTTTTTCAAACAATTATGCAATTGTAACATAAATATAACGTAATCTACAATACGCATACAGTAATGTTTATTTAGCGCTCAAATAAAGTGAAAAAACGACAAACATAACAACACAAAGAAAGTGGAAAAACTAGATTTCATGGTACAAAAAATAAAATCTTAGCCAATCTCCTTTGGCCGTTGTAGATTGCGTCTAATTTGAATTATTAGGTTTTTGCGATAAATATATTAATAAGCGTGAAATCTTGAAGATCACACCATTCCCGCGTCCAGATGAAAAATCATTTCGAAATAGATCTGTTATAAATAACCCATTTTTTCAAGGTTTTTTTTTTTTACGAAGATTCAAAATTCATAATAAAATCAATAATTACTTTTGATATTAATTTCTTATTTCTTATACATTTATTTTTTTAAAAAAAATTATTTTATAACACGACATGAATCCAACCTACTTTCAACAATCCCTCGTTTCCACTCCTTCAAATCCTTTACGACAAAATAACACTCATGTTAATAATGTGATTTCTGCTCAACAGACGTCCCCATACATATATCAATCACCTGTTCAAACAACACCTTCGACTTATTCTGGTCAAGGGAACACCAATTATAATATTGCTTCTACGCATCAAAATGTTAACTTTTCAAACCAATATGATCCGATGTCGTTCCAAACTTCTATTCAAACCAACTCTCTTACACATTCTCCGAATCAAAATCCACCCGTTCACCTTAGTAAATTTTTTTATCAACCACTTAACGATACTTTCAATTACCATATTGAATGTGAAAAAATTTCTGATGAACATGTTATACAATTATTAAACCAACCGTTTAGTATTATGCAATTGAAAGAAAATGATTATTTAAATGTATTTTTTTATAAACAACGTTGCAACAATCAATTTTATCAGGTATCATGTAAAATTGTTTCTCCTTCCTTTTTGAATAAAAATTTTTATGGAACTGAAACTGGACAGAACATAAGCCAAGAAAAATTAGCCTTTACTTTATATCAAAAAGAAATTCTCAAACAAGATTTAGCATTATACCTAAGCTACCACTTACTTGATTAAGTTCATAAACAAATTGAGAATCAGAATAATTCTGATTGATATTTTCGTTTCCTTGCAAAGAATAACGAGGATTAGGATCGTCATTATTTTGTACCACCTACTAAACAAGAACTGGATTTATGTTTAGTTATATTTATTTGCTTAAAATTATTTAAAATATATAAATAACCATAGTATTTTATATCTATTATATCATTCTTAGCATGTTTTTTTTTTTTGAATTAAATTATTAATAAAGTCAAGAGATTTTACTATAAACAATATTATACATATGTTTTAATTATCGCCGTTTTCAAAATGGTGTATGCAGTTATATTTGAATAAAAAAAAGAAACCGATAACCGATGAAAACTAGTCAGACCTCAATATACCGATACTCGATATACCGATATATATATTATAAAATCGACTATAACGATAAAATTTTACTTTCCCACTATATGAGAGAACATATATAATTTGAAATAACGATATTTTTCAATGATTTTCATAATGGGACCCAAACACGGGGTTTAACTGTATTGATATATATTCGAATATACAATTACCATAAATTGCCATATCATTTTGAAAACGGCGATAAATATTTGATATCACTCTAAAAATAAATTTGCTATAAATATTTAATATTTGATATCACACAAAAAATAATGTGAAACAAACAATAAATAACAATCATGCAATCAATACTAGATATAGCGAAATTATAATCAGTACCCTGAATACGCCGCAGTTTTATTAATGAGACTTCCACGGATAATGGTACTACTGTAACTTTACAAATCTGTAACATTAAATTTCAGGTCCGTACACCGAGTAACTTTTTGTACGAGAAACTTTACAAAATATTTTTTAGTATATGTTATTCTGAATCATTGGATTTTCTTGACTATTTTTTTTTTGATTCATCCATGCCTCACTTCCATGGATGAATTGGAATTATTTCTTTTGCCTGAAATTCATACTTATGATTAAATTTATTGGCAAAGAAAAAAAAAAGATCATATAATATGATAAAAAAGTACATCGACGTCGAACCCCCTGATCCCGGAGTAAATCTGTACGCGAAGGCAAAAATTCATTGTAAATTTGTATGCGAAAGCAATTTTTATTGTAAATCCGTACAACAAAGTAAATCATTGTTAGTTGAAATCCGTACTACAAACTTTGGTAAACTTTACGGGACTTTCAATTCCGTACAACGAGTGTGGGGCCTAACCTTAGTTATAATATGAAAAATTTTGAAAAATTTTATTAATATATATTCCGTATTTGGTTTTGGTATATTAAATATTTAGAACTGTACAACCTATCTTGCTTGTCAAATTTCGAAATATGTTAATCAGATTAAAAATTTAGGATAAACATTACTAATATTAACTTTTAATTACCCTTTACCGCTTATAATACTACGGTCGTGAAACAGCGGATGGCTACTTTTAATTAAAATAAGAATCATTAATGTATTAATGTTAATGAATGTGACTGAAAAATTTAGTTAAAATTCACGATAATTCCGATAAATCAATTGTGTTTCGTCCGATAGTTGGAAAGTAAAAAAATATTTGATGATTTTACAAAAATTGGTAAATGAATTTTTCACTAAGATAGTAAACTAAAATTTATTATGCATTAACAGGTTTTTTCTCCGATTTTCTCAATTATTTTAATGCGAATGATGCGGAGAAATCGACGAGATAGGGTTAAGAGTAATAATAGATCTTCCTGTTCTGATATTAATAATTGGATTGTTGATTAAGCAGAATACTGCGGATCTATGAAAGTGAATTATATATTGATTTTTTAAAACAACGCAAAAAAGCAAAAAAAAAAGTTGTAAATATCATAGTAAAGTCAAAAATTTCAAATGAAAAATGTATTTCGGTTTGTTTTATTTTATTTAAAATATAATAGTTCGTTTTAAGCTAAATATATGTTGAAATACCAATTTTTAAGTTCCTGAAGTAATGCTAAATTATATTTATTGTTAAAGTTAACAAAAAAACAATAGAAAAGCTCTTAAGATCTGATTCACAAATAAAAATGGAATTGCAATACTTTGATTTTTACTAAAATCTAAAAAGTCATAATATTTCAAATTTTTCTAACAGAATAGAATTTGGTCATTTACCTCTGACTAAAATTAAACATTAATTTCTTAATAATATATTTTTGTTTATTTGCTTTTGATTTAGTCCGTGGATTTATTGCCAAAGATTTGCACTATTCGTTCTGATTTAGCTTCCTCGCTGCGCTCAATTTTCTACTTGGTGTGATGATAATAACATCGACCGGCAATCTTGGCTTCTTCCCGAGACCAATCGGTCTTTGATTTTTCTTCTTCTCGGCCACAGCATCTTCCGTTGGTGTCCATGGCTCCGAGCGACAAAATTACGGGTGGTCTTTGGACTAAGCACTTGGATTTTCTGTGGCGTCGAACAGTTCGGGCTTGCGTCTCTAACTTAATTTTTGAGTTTTTTGGTAGATGTAGGTTTCGAGTTTTCTTTTGATTGATTATTGTAGTATATTTTGACTTTACTTATTAATTAAATTATAATACGTTTGCTGTTAAAAAAGAAACAAAGATTTATTTGTAGTAGAATTAATGTTTGGTATTATAACGATAAAAATAACAAGAAACACATTTTAAATATGCTTATTATTTTTCATTTGCATCGATTAAATATTCATGGTTTTTACTAGATAAGAAATCTTTGAATTCCGGCTGTGGCGATAGTGATAATGGTGTAGAATGTTTTCTGAGACGGGATGACAACAAAGTATTATATGATTGGTGACGTCTTCGTTATAAGTTATATGTTAAATATAGTTATCTTCGCTGGTATTTTCTCCTTTCTTCATCCATCAATTTATGATGTCTTGATTATTATAAAGCGATTAGAATGATTCCTAATATATTACTTACTCAGTCTTCATCTCACGTCTTAAACGTGAAACTGATTTTTTACAAATACGATATAAATATCAAATAATCTCGTTACATTATTTCTGCAACACCTGGCCGCAGGAGCAGGTTTTAGCCTTTTAGATACATCAATTATCACATCTGCGACACCCAGATTGACAAATGATGCTGCGCTTTCAACGCGAGTCTGACTCTTGTTACATTATCAATTGTTAAAACCATCGTACATCCAGCACTTCCCCACTTCGGCCGCAGGAGTAGGTTTTAGCCTTTTAGGTACATCAATTATCACATAGCCATTTCCAGCAAACACCCGGCTTGCCTTCTGTTGACACCCGGCCGCAGGAATATTGACAATTGATAATACTGATTTAAACAACAGACAAATAAAAATGAACATTTCGGTAGTAAGCTTGTGAGGATTTTCATTCAATTTGCTGGAAAACATCCGCCTCTGAAATTTTTTTGATAAAGAATATATATATCCCAGTCACAAAGACTACCCCATAGGTTAAGATCTTTGTTCCAGTAAGCTTGAGGACCATCAACGATATATGTAAATACACAAGTAGTTTATAACATATACATTCAAATACAACAATTGTGAAGAAAAGACTTACCTGGGAAACGTAGCTATACAAGTACTCCCAACGGTAGAACGATAGTATACGTTCTAGAGTGTAACGCCCTCGGAATATACTTCCAATACCATTTGATGCCCACCCTTTTAATAGCACTTTGAATCTTTGGATGACTTGTTTCTGAAATTTGAAATTTTAGTCGCATGTGAATTTGTTATTAGTCTATTTTACAAGGTAAATTTGTATAGGATTTTAGAATATAGAGTAGATAATAACTAATAAAGACCCTTACAATCGGAGCGAATTTAATAGATTCGACAAGGGAAAGTAATGTTTAAGTGATTTTACTAGGAGCGCTTATTATAACTCTATTAAGTAACGAAATATGACCAAGCAGACTATCTAAATTTACTTTAAAATTATTCTTATTTAACCTATTTTACTAAAATTAATTATCTATTATTATTGGTCAGTCTATTATGATCATGCTGATTTTGACGGACTGATATTTTTTTGTTAATGGCTAAATAATTGTTAAATATGACTATAAATTAATCCTTTAATAAGTTTTACAGTTTAGTTATTAATACTACAATAATGCCATGATCTTGCAATAACTATTATTTACAACAATGCTTAAATTTTCTACAAAATTACATGGAATACAGTTTACGACTCACATGTATGGATCAGTTAAAAGAATATTGATATTTGAGATAATTGGTATTTCATTATTCAAAGTTGTATTATTTATTTTTGAGATTTTCTATAATTATAAAATATTTGCAAATGAGTAAATATAATGGAATCGAAATAAATTTTTCATGAATGTCAGTCACGTGAGAGATTTTTTTTATCCCTTGAACCCATCTTTTTTTTAGGATATATTTAGGGTTTCAGACATTGGTTATGTCAACTTTTTTAGCGTCAACGTCAGTGGCATCACATTGCCATTTGACTCATGTGACTTCGTAAATGACTTACTTGGCATCAAATTGATTAAAAAAATTTATAATATATTGTTTAAAGCTTCTGACCAACTCTTGATGTGAAATGACTTAGACTTTTAAAACTTTTTCGTTATAATTATAGATGATACATATGCGGTGTGTTTTCAAGGTTTAATTTTTTTACGTACTACCATAAGTCCATAACAATAAGAAAACAGAAATGTCAGCTAATATCTCTTACTAATTATAAACAAATAATAATAATACGAATAATAATGTTCAAATAAATTAAAAAAGTAAACCAAAGGAGATAAATATACTGTTAATTAAAAGAGTAGTAAGCACAATAAAGGATATTTTGATATGTCAAAGTTGACATCAACGACATAACACAATATGACACGTCACTAACAAATGTTTGTACCCCTAAATATGATAAAGTCAATACTAATACTACATCTACCCCAAATTATCGTATACTAAAGAATTAATAATATTAATATTCCTATTGGAACACGTTACAACATGATTTACCGAATACCATTTCTCAAACATATCATTTCCCGAAAACAATTTTCCGATTTCCGATTTCCTGAACTGATCATTTCCCCGAAACTTTCAATTTTAATATATGGAAATTTTACTGGATTAATAAATGATGTATAGGTTTCTTTATAACCCATTTCATTTTGACTTGTCCATACGGTGCATAAAAATGATTGACTGCCATGAGATTATTTGACAATTAATTAACGAAATATATAATAAAAATAATAAGGCAATATATACGTACGTGAGAAAAAAGATCATCTGATGATTTCTTGTAGTGCATACTAGCATACAGTATATACTGTACAATAACTTGACATTCTTGACTCAATAATTACTTTAATCCTTGTTATTATATAAAATATAAATATTGTAAAAAAAGTATATCGGGAAAATGATTTAGAAAATTGACTTCGGGAAATGGTATAATCGGGAAAACGACATTCGGGAAGTGGTAAGTATGGTGATTAGTATGGTGACCCTATTAAAATTCCATACAGTAAGCTGATATTCATACTCGATATATTATTGACATTAATGATTTTGTTATCATCAACGAAATTTTCTATAATATAACGTAATTGAATCATTTTTAATATCTTGATCTTTAAAGAAAAATCGATCTATTTTTTATAAATCCAACAACGGAATAAAAATTTGATCATTTTGCATTTGACCAATTTAAATATCTGATATAAATTTAAAACACATAAAAAAAGAAAAATTCTTACAATATATGGCAGTTTATGTTTAAATAACATGAATCCAGCCGGTTTTATTCCTTACAGCATTCACGTTAATCATGTGATTTTTGCGCAGATGATGTCGTAGATGATGTCGTCGCGCAATAAGTTTTCACTTATTGTGATAATATGTGAATGGGTATATATCGATCACATGTTCTAACAAATTCTTTCAACGTTCCATTTTCAAGTTATTCTGCTGTACAAGGAATTATAATGCTATTTCTGTGCATCAAAATGTCTACATTTCAGATCAATATGACTCGATAATCGATATCGATTCAACAAACGTTCCAACCTCCTATTCAAACCAACTTTTTTGTCGAATCAAATTCTACCCATTCATCTTAGTTATATGAACCGCGTAACGTCGGTAACGATACTTTCAATTACCACGTTAAACGTAAAAGATCCTATACAATGATTAAATAAATCGTTTAGTATTTAATATATTTTTTTTTATTATTATTAGTTGAATTATTTTTGTGTATATTCATATAGCGATAGTGTTTTTTAATGCATACGTGTGTTGATGTGTTTTTTTTGAATTTAAAATTATATTTAGACAAATGGTTGCTATCATCTATTATTCTATTTAAATAAGTAGAATTCTGTGAAACAATCGATAAATCAATATAGGCACATAGAGAAATTACTGAGATTCGTTAATTAATATTATAATATAATTTACCTGCAAAATAACAAAGAATTTTTATTGATAGATTTTGTATTTTGATTGGTACATCAAACATTTTTAGAACTAAACCGAGTTGTATAATTAATTCTATCCTAGACGTGTTACCTGCAGATATTGAAACAGACTAAAAAATAAAAAATAAAATTTAAATAATTATTAATATTAACTTTTTTAATTAATTTATTATCATTTATAATGTTTACGCCCATAAAACAAATGAATGACCAAATTTTTTTTTTAAAAAAAAAAGAAAATACCAGATTATGAATGTTTTAGTTTGGATTATAAAGATTATAAATAAATTTCTGATAAATTCATTGAAAAAAAAAAAACACGTATTTATATCAAACACTTTTTTTTTTTTTTTAAAGTTTTAAAAATCAATTTTGCCAAGATTTTTTTTATATAATTATTATTTTAGAAATATACTGTAAATCATTCTTCATACGATAATAACCGAATGAAAAAAAAAAA